ATATCTCTCTTTTGGTTTATCTCGTTTTAGGCTTAGTAGACCAATCAAATTTAGGTGTCCCTCAGATTATTTATTGAAGAAGTACAAGGAATGCCACAGTCCTATAACATCCTATTCAGATGCTTTTTTAGTTCGGGACAACGCATACCATTAAAGATACTACGACGGTAGTAAATGACATGTTTACCACGATTTTTTGTAAAACATCCCGAATTTTAAGATAGAGGAGATTTATGTTTTTTATTAGGACATGGTTTACTTAGTGGTAAGTAAAATACCCGAGCTATAGAACAACCAAACAAGATGCCCAGGCGACTCATTTTGCCTTTGGATATTTGGAAAACCATGGACTGAAATCAAAATAAGATAATAAGAACGGATAAGGTAATAAGAGACCTGGATTTTCGATTTTCCTACCACTATTTTAATATCCAGATGTCCTACAGACTGATTTTAAAAGTCCAACACGTTTTAGGACATTGATAAATCGATTAGAAACATGTTCAGCCCGGTTAAGATCAGACCCACGAGGTGTTGATTATATTAGCCATACATCATATATACTCTTGGACCAACGACCTCATCGGAATGTTGTAAATATATATGTCATTATGACAGACAAACCCTACTTGTCCCTTACAAGAGTAGCGAGCCTCGTGTAACCGATCTTGAATATAAAACCTTGAGCTAAAATTCATTAGCGCGTACATAAGCGAAATAATTTCACATGAGCGGTTAACGACGCGCTAAACGAACACGCACGACCATCTGAAATCATTTGTTATTATTACTTTGATACAATTTAAGGCCGGTGATACACGTAAAAAGCGCTATATCAGACTTACATACATCTATAACGAATAGCGCTAAAAAACTTTTAAAAAAAATCATAAATCTTTTAAATTTAACACTTTAACGGTTTAAAACTCAATATATTAGTTAAACTCATTTTAAAATAACTTAAACTAATATATCTCGTTTTAAACCGTTAAAGTGTTTTATTTAAATGTATACTACTCGCGTAAACTATAGACAGCATAAATCATGATTGGATATGGCTTTTTTCAAACATATGGACAGTTTATTAGTGAAGATTTAAATAAAACACTTTGGGTTTAAAACTCAATATATTAGTTAAACTCATTTTAAAATAACTTAAACTAATATATCTCGTTTTAAACCGTTAAAGTGTTTTATTTAAATGTATACTACTCGCGTAAACTATAGACAGCATAAATCATGATTGGATATGGCTTTCTTTCAAACATATGGAAATCAGTTTATTAGTGAAGATTTAAATAAAACACTTTAAGGGTTTAAAACGTTAGGTATGTATTAGTTAAACTTGTTTGAAAATTATTTTTAACTACGGCCCGACGTTTCCGATGCTTTGCAGCAGCTGTGCTATCGGGGAGACTGTCTCCCTATTTAACTAATATAATATAACATAACCATTGAAATGTTTTATTAAATTAACAAAAAAATAGCTGCGAACAGTATTAATTAGTCAAGAGATAAAACGTGCCATATATTTTATTCTACCATTGAAAGGAATTAAAAATAACTGATCAATTAATGATTTAAAAGGGGAAAAATAAAACGCAAAATGTAGTACAATGTATTTATATATTTGAATCTATACTGATAGTAACTTAGTTTAAATATTAGATTACGTTAGATACGCTACAGGAATCTGGAATGTTCATCCCACACCAATCAATAGACTCGGAAAGATAAAATGTAGAGTGAAAATACCTTTGTGGGTAAGACTCATCAACAGTTAAAGGGTACCTGACGAAGAGAACCAAGTCAACCAATTGGTTTACAATAAAAATAACAAGATAATCCCTCCACCCTGTTCTTGCGATACCCCTTGTTTCAGTTTAGTGGACTCTTTAACAATTCGATGGCTATTATATGCTATAGAGAACTGAAAGCAGACCCACCACACCATTTATCCTTATTATAATCGTTGCGTTGCTTTATTTAAAAAGTAAGTCTAACAGGTTAACAAATGTAACAGATAACATTGAGAAAAAGAAGAATATTACAAAAGTCAAAATCAAAGGACGATCGCACTTGTATTGAATCTCAAAGCGTCTACATAGATATAGACTTATCAATTGGCATTGGATTTAAATCCACAGGTTTTGTTGTTAGATTAGAGCCTAGGGGGATGCTTTTTGTGGAATTTAATAATATAGTGTACCTTAATGGTAATACAATCACACGCAAAAAACCTCCTTACACACAATGTTGCATTGCAATTGTACAATAAGCACTCTAGCATAACGATAGCAAAGCTAGTCTTACTACAAAAACTTTAACGTCCAACTTAGATAGTATAAGAAAAATAAACAAATACCTAAATGCTTCGCTTGGCAGATACTTCTTGAAATATATTGATTTTTAAATAAAATTTTTGTAGTAAGACAAGATGAAAACAATTCCCCATAACCGCATCAAATGCAATAAAACAGTCAACGATTGAAAATTGAGTGAACATTTTTAAACAATAAATTTATATTCTACTGGATAATTATAAATCTGATATATGTATAAACAGGCAAATGTATACAGTATTTTCTTTTAAACCTTTATTTTTTATCGTGTCTTTCAATTTATATAATAACATTCATCGATGTAATTAGGCTAAGAAGAGAAAAAGACTATAAACAATAAATAGAGATAGAGTCGAAAATAATACACTAGCAGGCGGTTATTTCTCAACTAAATGAAATAAATTTTTGAATAAATGAAAAATAACATGTCATTTTGACATCAAATAGAAGAACTGTATAATGTAAACTGTATTACACATTATTGCACATGAATAAAATTTAGATAACTGCCAAATTATGACTTTCAGTCATTTTTAAGGTGGGTTCGCTACGACGGAATACCTTTTTTCAATAGGGCTTTCAGTGCCATTTTCTTCGCCCATACATGTCATTTCAAGAAAAAAAATCACTACTTATTCTGGATTAAATTTGCATATAATATTAGATGCGGTAATTAAAATAAGAGATATTTACTGGTAAATAAAGAATATAACAATAGAATACTATAAAAAAATGATTTAAAAGGTCCTATAAAACAGTTACGTTTCGGTTTATATAAGTTAACTCTCTTGAAAATCATAGACCTCCAAACAAAAAAATACATTAGTGCAACTTGTTTGGAGTCGAAAATCCAAAGTCAATATTTCGGATTCATATAAAAAAATATTTCAAATACTTTCACAGCCGCGCAGGCGTCTAGCTCATAGATACTTCAATTACCGCGGCCAACCGGATAACTAAGTACAAATGTCATGATATAATAACTATAATATACCTAAACGAATAAAACATTAATAAATATATCTATGTACAATACAAATAAACGATCACAATGAAGCTACATACTCACGAATACTGCACGATAGCATGCCAATAATATTTATCTAATAAAACATAATGATCTTAAACTACGTACAAAGCTTAATAAATAAAAAGGATAATTGATAAAACTTGTCTAAGAAACTAATATAAAAATGAAAAATTACACAAATAATACTGTTTTAAAAAAATCCATAAATAAAACAGTAATTTTCGATCACATGGCACCAATGTTGTATGTTTTGATACTGCGATGATCTAATATGATATAAAACCATCACAATAAATAATCTACCTTAATATTATATGCGCAACAATATGTATTTAAATAACTCTAACCGAATTAGTATGAGATTACCCACGGGAATAAAAGCGAAAATAAGTGCTTCTAATCCCACTTCTGATAGTTTGTTTTTAAAGCTAAATGTATATTTTTGCTAAACCATTTATAAGAAATATTTATACCCTATATTTATTCTTACGATTATACGATATTATAATTAATGTATTAAACAAGTCATTTTAATGAAGAATCTCTACGAGAACATCCTATATTAGACCCTTACACTAAGGGTGTTAAACTTCAAAGATGATTTAAAATGTAATAACGAACATATTATGACATACAAAATAATTCTATAAACAATCAAAACTTTGTCCCTTCGCTATCTCGTTAATTGACATGTATCGATCCGTGACGGTAGTTTTAAAATTAGGGTAGATTTAACTAATTACACTAACGAGATATGTAAGGCGGTTATAACAAGCAGGCGACGTACATATGTTAATAATCCAACAATTAATCACTACAATGTTTATAAATTTTATTAAACGTGAACCCTACACTAATACAAGAAGTAATTTTGATGAGATCTTCTCTAAATCCAAAATTATAAAACATATGTACCACTATCGGAAACATGTGTTCTTGCCGAGCATGATGCATCGAACGTGAAAACGTGCGTGGTAACACTTTGAATCCAACTAGACAAACGTACCTTACAATAGTTTTCAAAAAGGAAACCCTATTCTCATATTTAATTTGTATTTAGTATCTCTAAGGTAATAACTGGTTTTCAGGAATGAATATAGTTTACGGGCAGTATTATTTGTGAGCCTTGGCACCGCGTTATATTGTTTGTGACGTTACACTTATTATAATTAAGTATACACGATAAATCAACTAACTTGTCTACCCTCCTTTTAATAATGTAAATACTACTAAAAGAGGGTAGAATCAAAAATTATATTTGTATTTTATAAAGCGATTATAAGTACGTGATATTATATTAATTAGGAATATATGGTCACTATTTTATGAGTATGCGATGGATTATGTTCAAATAATGGCGCGTAGTTTAAGAACATTTTGGTGTTAAAATTCCAAGATTTTTTGAAGAATCCATTATAATAGTACTTAGTATAACTGATGTGTATATCTTAAATTAGAGAGTACACTAGCTTGCAATGAATTCAGTTTGCTTCAAACTCGACTTATTTGTAGTTACAGGGCATAATAATAAAATTACCTAACAAATGACCTCAATTCAGTGCTCGCGAGTGTAATATGAATACTGGATATTACTTTTATTATTTGTTCCACGGTTCGACTGTGCAGTCTTACTCGCCAGTGTCCACCCATTTCGCTTCCTCCGCTATTCTATCCATGCAGTTACACAAGAACTGATACTGCAATGGAGAAAAGTAAATGTTACAATACATAATATTTATATTAAATGGGCCACAGGTGAAAAAAGCCGTGAAGTTTAATCACGTTTCGGTTTCAGTCTGTGGATTTCCGAATATCCAAAGCTAAAGTAGGTTGACAGCGCAGCTTGTTATATGGATGGGGTATCTCACCTCCCATCAAGTGAGCATGGGGCTTGTCTGTCCTCCTCTAACATTAAAAAAAATATATATGTCTCGAATTTTTTTGAAACAATTTTATTAAAACGCGACCCATCGGAGGACCACATTCGATTGTAATTGGCCAACTTACATATGGCGTATGCAGAACAAGCGGCCTCCTCCGGCCGTAAACAACGGTGGCTGCCGCCGCTTCATCGTCAGCCCGCCAAGAGTGCACCTCATTCCAGCGTACCTCCACGCTGGAAGCACCCTCAGAACCCATACCCGACCCGCCCTCGTACCACGCGGATAGCTTTAGTCCCGACCAACCTGTTCAGTTTTCGCGTCGTTATAAGTTTGGGTTTTTCGAAAAAAACATGTTGTACATATTTCAATAAACATGGTGAAGGGTTTAAAACGGGAAACATATTACTTAAACTTCTATTTTATTTTCTTAACTACGACCCGACGAGTCGGGTGCTTTGGACTTTGGGACGGCTCTTGAAGAGATCACCCTTCAGCACATAGAATAAGGTCAAACGCAAAACTGCTATGCTAGCGCCATCTGTTCTTCGTAGTTGGTATTTGCTAAAACTAGCTTGGGCCTTACAATTTTAATCCTTTTAAAAGATAACAACAAGACAAGTAAGCGCCCCAAGCGTTTTTGATGAGGAGTTTAGATCGCTCTAGCAATAAGAAAACAAATTCTCTAGCTTTATAATATTAGTATAGATTTGTATAGATTTGAAAATAATTGGGGCTGACCTAGTGTTAGGGCTACGTGCGTATCAACGTCCGTATGCGCTGGCGGAAAAGCAACGTTTCCGTATCCGGGGAGCGTGCGCGCTAAAGAGAGGTAATCTGGCGCTCGTCGGATGTCCTGCAAAGCCTTCAGTTGGTAGAGCCTCGCGCCGGCGACGCATACGCCTCGGTTCACATCTTCTACCGCCTGCAAATTTAAAAAGGAAGGAGTAAGTATCTTGAAAATTTGTTCATTCACATAACACCTTTATACAGGTTATCGTCAGGCTTATCACATTATTTTAGTAGAATCTATTTAGTGCAATATTTCATAAAAATCGGTCGGTTAGTGGCGTCAAAACTTTTTTCTACTTAACAAAAACATTAGTTTGCAGCTACAGACATTAAAATGAATGATAATAATTTATGATAGCGAAGAGCGTGTCATTTGCGAACATAAAAAGTCATAAAATTCAACATTTGCGCTATCTATTTTTTATAAAAATATTATTTCTTTAAATTTGGTTTTTGTTTTTAGAAATTATGTTATATACTGTCTGTTATTAACGCCAGTAGTACACATTTAAATAAAACACGAAACGGTTTAAAAAGCGATATATATTAGTTAAACTTATTTGAAAATGATTTTAACTACGGCCCGACGTTTCGGATGTTTTGCAGCAGCCGTGGTCACATCTCCCCGTTAATATAATATCGCGTTATAAACCGTCAAAGTATTTTATTTAATAATTTTACAACTATTATTTAGTATAATGCAGTAAGTAGTACAGGGCAGTTATGTGTACATAAATCCTCACCTGCCAGAATATAAATTCCGCCGCTTTAGTGTCTTCAGCGATGACAGATAGCTCTGTATGGGGGTTGAACAGCCATTTGCGCAGAGATAGGCAAGAGGAGGACGCCGTGGAGTAGTTCTGGATGTACAGCGAGTGGGGGCATTCGTTTGGTTGCAACTTGCGCTCTGAAAGCCGAAAAAACAATTTTATAAATTTATCAAAGGTCATTTGACCTAGAATGGTTGAAATTGGTTATAGTAGTGGTATAACTCACCGAAGTTATATTCGACTATCTCAAAAAGATAGAAGTACTTGTGAACTTGTTTGGAAAGACCTATCTTATCACACACAGCGCGGTACACATCGTCGGCGTTTGTAGATTTAAGAACGGCTACAGTCACCACCTCCCTGTCGGGGAGCAGCACCTTTAGGTCCACGGGGGATGGGTTCGAGCTATCATCTGAATCCGTGAGGAATTCTTGAACTGCGTCAGACTCAGCGATCACTCGGACTGCACACACCTGGATACAAGTGTGGTTATGAATGTCATATAAATAAATATTATTTGAGCTGTGCGGCAGCTGGACCACTTACAAACAAAAATAATTAATGAATAATTAACACTTTTAATCAAAAGAATTTACAACAAAAATAAAACTGTTTTTTCTTTTACCTTTTCTAAATATTGTTCAAGTCCCCTTCTGCGACCATCTAGTTGTTGCTCACTCAATGTGAACGGCCATTTGCCCGGAAGTTTAGGGAAATTAAAGCCTGGAATTGGGATAATAAATTATAAGTAAGTTGCACACGGTCTATTTAACTTATTAAGTTTCTTTCTAGCCGGGTTGCTTGGAAGAAACCGCTAATAGCGATACGGGTGCACAGTGCCCTCTACATTATATTATTTAGTTTTGTCGTGAAAGCAAAACCCACATAGCGAAATACTGCATATGCATGCACGGATGCAGCAGCCGTGGTCACGTCTCCCCGTGACCACGGCTGCTGCAAAGAATCCGAAACGCCGGGCCGTGGTTAACATAATTTTCAAATAAGTTTAACGCGTTTTTTATCGCGTTTTAAACCGTGTTTCATCTTTTTTTAATATTCATAGTTTCGCTATAAATGTGCTAGATGTAGATTTGGAAATACACTCACCAACGAACTCCTTTCTCAAAATCTGATGCAGAGCCGCAAATTCTCTATACCGGCGGCTGCAGAGATGCCTTCCGGCCATGTGTACGTTGAAAGCCACGTACGACCTGCCCGTGTTCCTCTCCATTACCACCCGATAGTCTGGTATGGAGACGGGCAGCGAACGCTTGTCCGTGTAGTCGTAGCGCTGGTAGACGGTGGCGCGTGAGTTCGCAGCGCCGCCTATCACTCCCACAGGCGCTGAGCCGTCGTCGCATGGCTCAAGTCTTTCAGCTTCCTGGTGTGCATTATATTACATATATATAACTATGAAAATGCACATATTTCTTAATAAATCTAATCAAAATAGACATAAAAAATATTTTTTACTGTTTTTGGGTTCCTAAATACTTTTATTTAACTATTTATTATAAACTAATTTATTTACGAATTGTTCATCTGTGGGCAGTGATTCGTGACCGTGAATGAATTTTCCACATTCCTATTGTGACAAGAATATCGAATTATTTTATATACAGACTTTTTGGACGAAGTCTAACACGTATCAAAATATAGTCTGACTTAAGCATCGCCCAATATACCAACCAATCATCTTCGAACTATTTTGATTGTTTGACGAAAATGCCACCTAGTCGATCAAATGATATAACGCTTAGAGTTTTTTTTTTTTTTTTAAATCTTTATTTAGTAGGCTTTAACCTAACTAGGTTATGTCGCCCAATGATACAAAATTTACAATTACAATACCGAATTAATAAAATATCTACACTCTAAACATATCTACATAGCCTTATGATATAAGTTTAGTAGCATCCTAGCCTCCCCCGAAAATGGAAAGGCTAAGACACTACCATACCACCCAACATTTTTAAAACAGATAGATTTACTAACCAATTGTCTATATGCCGCATTCCGTACACATTCCGACAAAACATGAGTGAGGTCTTCCACAACGTTACAATCTGTGCAATCAGGACTTGATGTTACTCTCATCAGATGTTTGAATTTGTTTGTCGGAATATGTCCGGAACGCAACCGCATTAAAGATACAACATCTCTTCTATTTAGATTATTGAAAATGTACCACGGGTGAATTGGAGGGGCACATACAATCGTATGATACCAGATACCCTTTGTGAGAGACCTCTCATCGAAATAAACATTCCACATACTTCGACAATCTTGTTTCACCAAAAAAAGTACCTCAGAATATGTAGGTCGCCCATATAATGAAACTACTCCCCCCGAAGTCTCACCATTTAACACAGCATATTTAGCCCAACGATCAGCTTCTTCATTACCTTCAATGCCAACGTGTGATGGTATCCACTGAATTTGTACTGTTTTATTTTTAACTTTTAATTTGCAAATAGAGTCCAAAATGGAATAGGCTATCGGGAGCCCTCGATTCCTCGAGGGTAACCGAGCCAAATGAAATAACGCGCTTTTAGAGTCCGATAAAATTAAAAACTGAGAATTATTTACAGAATCAACATATGATAATGCTTCAGCAATTGCCATCAAACGCTTAGAGTTACATAAGATATTATGTATCACATGAACCATTTCTAAGTTATTTATAAACAATGTATAATATTACCCTGCCACCAAACATCAAAAGTCAAACTGAATTTTATTTTTGGTATGGTATTATACCCTGAAAATAATCTCCACATCCAAAATGTATAAAATAGGCATGATGATATACCTTTGGTGTAACAGAAATCACTGTCAGCGTGAGACAGTCCCCGCCTGACTTGATGAGATCCACCACTTGCTTGTGTGTTGCACCTTCAACATTGACACCATTGCTGTAACGAATTTTGCGATTATTAACTTAGTGCCACATTTTACCATAAAATAAAAACTATTAGAAGGCACATTAAAACAATGTTGTTAGTTAAAAAATATTTGATCTTTTTGAAACCATCAAATAAAACGGTAAAAAAATAATAAATAAATATTTTATTTAAAATAATTCGTTCGTGGTTTTTTTTTCATTACGTTTTATCTTCTGCGTTCCATTTAGGTAACTAGTTTTAGATATCGTCGTCTTATAATAATATTTAACTAAATAAACGAAACGTCGGGCCGAAGCTCAAAATAATTTTCAAACAAGTTTAACTAATATAATTGCGTTTTAAACCGTTAAAGTGTTTTATTTACACGTGTACTACTCATATAAACTATAGGCAGTATTTATATAATAAGTATTTTTGGTCTTTTATGTTTATTTCGCTAGGATTTAATTGCATCAAACTAAAAAACAAAGTTCTCATAAATAATGCTATAATATTATATAATTGCTTCGTAGAGTTTATAGAACTTGTTTTTGTAAATAAGCATCGATAGCGCCACAGCTTCTATTGTTTATTTGGAATTATCTGATGACGCAGTGTGAATAATCCTTTCATCCCATTAATGTTTTATAAATGTGTTTGCTGATAAAAAAAATATTCGATTCGTTGCAGAAAAATATGCGTTCTCTTACAGCTGGAAAACTGAACTTTTGCTAACATTATTTTCCTATTAGAAATACCATAACAAATAAAAAAAATAAAAAATACACTATGATATACATATCTTTTCATTTTTCAATGCTGGCCTTTCTTTTAAATAAAACAGTTTAACGGTTTAAAAGCCGTGGTCACGGGGAGACTGTGCCTGTTGTTGCTGCTGTCTGCGACCGGGGCTGCTGCAAAGCGTCCGAAACGTCGGGCCAAATTTAAAAACAATTTTCAAATAAGTTTAACTAATATATATCGCGTTTTAAACCGTTAAAGTGTTTTATTTAAATGTGTATTACACAGTATTTAGCCTTTCTTGGTTATTTATCATTATAGAAAATATGATAATTTTTAATAAGGTGTAACCATAAAATTTCTTACCTCCTCTTAGCTATACATCCCGGAGCTTCTAAATCGTAAATTTCGAAACCAGTATTATTACAATAGTAGAAGCAATATCGAAAATCACCAGCACCGCCTCTTTGCAATGTCATTTTTTTAAACTAAACCTTACTAAAAATCTTGGTAATCCGAGTTAACTAATTGGTAACAGTAATATGCAGTTTCAAACATCAACTGTGAACTAATAAACATATCAATCGACCGCCGTGCCGAATGTACGCACTATTAAATAAACATAACGATCTAATAAGACATTGAGCACAACGAAATTGACATTCAGCAAACATGTGTTGGAGTGATGAAACAGACGGAAATTGTTGGTATATATCTCGTATTTTGTTTGAGCCTAGCTTTGCCTGTGATTACGCTTGTGGAGAATTTGTAGAGGTTATTAGGCTAAGCCAGTGTATTGTATATCTACATACATTATATTGAAGAAGAACTGAAAGATAGCTTAAGTAAAGCTTATTCAGCTGATAAAGGTTACTTTAAATATAACACTTTAATGGTTTGATAAGCGATATATTTATAGCGATTTAATCGATAAACTTATTTGAAAATTATTTTAACTACGGCCCGACGTTCCGGACGCTTTAACTAATATATATTGCAATTTAAACCGTTTAACGTATTTTATTTAAATGTGTACTACTTGTGTAAACTACAGAGAAGTTTTCCTAAGGTATCTTATTACCCTCATAAGGTAGAATCTAGATTAATTTATGACAAAAATTAACTGTCAATAAGCTTCTCAAAAAAAGTAAGACATATATATAAAATAGGTCAGACAGTGATATGGTAAATAACAAAAGCGAATTGGCTATCATAAACCCTTCAGGAAAACAATAAGCCTACAGAATGTCTGTCTCGGCAATGACTTATGGGATTAAATGATATATGAAATCTTTGTGCAGACAAGTATCAAGACAGCCTTGCAAATTTTTATATACATAGGTACATACATAAAATGATTTCATTGCGCATTTACACATTTATTTATTCATCATGCCTACTAAATGTCAAAATTAAGAGTTGTTATTAATGCCCTGGTACTCATTTCTGAAACTCAATATGTGTGATGGATTTTATTGAATCGTGATCAAGTGAACACGAATAGTAATATCTTTTTATTGACATAAATTAAAGCTAATATTTTTTATACTTAACAATTATTCAGCAACAGACAGCAAATTTAATGCATGATGATAATAAGGCAAATGATCAAAGTAGAACAAATGTATGAATAATAGGAACTACATATACATAATTAAATATTAATTGTTTTTAATAGAATAAGAAAAAGAAAAAAGTGATTCACGTGTCAGCATTGTAAATACATTTAGAATATTAGTTGATTTTTTTTTGTCTATGTTTAATAAACAGGATAAATTGTGCAATTTCTTGTAAAGATAAGAACAAAAATAGGTTAGTGGAGTATCAATAGCGTGTGTAGACATTTGATATAATATTTAACAAGTAACAAGGCATAGGTCAATAGGTTCTAAATAATTACCAGTATCTATCTAATTGTTCTTTGTTACTCAAGGTTGATGTAGCCAAAATAAACTATATTGGCTATGTAAAGAATTCAGATAACATTTATTTAGGAATATTTTAGAAAATACTTTATTTTCTGTTGGATTAAAAGTATCCTTGTTTGGGTGATCTAGTCACATTATCTGTTAACTATTTTGTCTATTCGCCTTTAATGGAGGACATTGGGTTATCCAACTCTCATTGCCCTCCTTCAAACCTACAAGTTTCTCTACAAAATATTATGTTATTTAACATTACTAATTATTAGAAACGGACAAAAGTTTGGTTACCACATTAAAGATGACATACATAATAATAATGGTTTCTACTATCTTCATCATCAGTATATTTTCATTCTTCATTTAACTTATTAAAGCTTATTGAATATAAAGTAGTAATTTTTATGAATTTATTTTACCATCATTTAAATAGTAAAATCAAGTTATGTAGGCTTATTAAATTAAGTATGTATGTATGTAGGTGTCAAATGGGATAGATGAGACCTACAAATCACAACTACAAGACTCTTTGTGTAAACTAAAAGCAAATTTCAATTCAAAGTTTTGTTTGTTAAAAGTATTGTGTAATTTGAACATGGTCCCTTTTATAATATATACTTTGAGACATCATGGATAAGAGATCATAGTAAAGTCTTTCTTTAATATATCTCTACATAGACTTTAATATGTATTTTGTATAACTTACAATATAAATAACATTGTACCACAGATTATACCTCTTTATTCATCCAAGTATTAGCATGATAAAAATATTAGCATAGTATTATATGATTCCAAATGAAAACTGGTTATGACTCATTGCTTACAGTTTGGGTTTAAGGCTTTTGTGTGAAAAATTAACCATACTTAAGATATAGATGCAATATGTAGATATATATGCAACGCCCGAAACACGTACGTAAAATCCCAGATAATCTAAATTACTGACTCGAAATTACTTGTAACTGTTTAGTATAGTAATTAAAATTTACGTACACTTCTAATATCCTGTCGCCTTTTCTTATACCAGCTTGTTCAGCCGCTCCTTGCTCCAAAACAGCGCTGACGTGCTGAAGAGGAGCATATAGCTCTCCGTTGATGGACCGTAACTGCCCTCCCTCAGATACTTGGCCGCGTACGTTGAAACCAAATCCGGTTTCAGTTTTATAGATAGTAACTCGGCGCGGGCCATTATTTTGTGTCAAATTTCTATTATTTCTATCAGGTCTAACAATATTGTTTTTATCGGTTTCCGTCTCGGCCATTTTGGTCAATTGATGACACAGACTACATAACAAGAGTCAAGGTAGTAAAAATTCTTAAGCATTAAAATGACATTGACATAACGATTACGTAAATAGTCTATATGCATCACAGATAATATTGCAGGCTAGTAATATGTCATACTAAAAATTTGTTCCACTTTGTACTAATTAAACGAGTTTTGAACCCAATTCATAATTTATGAAAAGGTGAATCAAATTACTATTAGTAAAGATGAAGAATAAACGAAAGATGGCAGTAGATTAATAAATATCTATTTCTTATCTTTAATCTGTGGCCCAATACAGAAACAACGTGGAGTGCCTACTGCCCAAGAAAATTTTCACACATCAAAATCAGCTGTGACAAGCAGTATGGCCGCTCATTTAGCAAGCAAATAAAATTGAATTTTTATTATTTTATTTTAAAACTTTAGTAAAAATAGTAAAGTGTGGTTGAAGTGTTTGCATTTTAGTCTTTTTAATACATTACTGTCGGTGTTAATGTTGACTAAAAGTGTTGCGTCATGACAAAAAAGACCTCTCACTGACAAACAAATACAATAAAAAATAGTAACTTCGAATTATATCAAAGCTTGTAGCTTTTCCCTTGCATTCGTGATTCGATTTATCAAGTTTATTGCGCGCTGATGTGATTTGTGCGAAAATTGTTTGAGTATACATTAATATGAGTACCGTTCGTCTGAGTTTCGTGTCGGTCGGGAGAATAGCTGTTAGGAGAAATTCGCAGTTGACATCGGGTGAGTGTGATGTTCAATATGTTTTTGTTCTGTATTGGCGTTCTTCCAGCGAAATAGATCGCAATTCGACGACCACTCGTGTAAATGTTTGATAATAGTAACTACGTCACAATACACAAGTCGCGGTTACTGATTACACCGAAATTGATTTTTTAATTAACTTTATTGGAGTCTCAGTAGATGTCGAGGTTTTTCTTGAAGGTCAATAACATTAAAACACATATTCTGACATTGAAATGTTTAGTTTGAATAAATTGTAAATTCAATTTGTGTTATATCAAAACACTTTTAGATGTGATCATGAAAAATTATAATGACATCATTATAATTTTTTCGTCATGTAATTATAGTAAATACACCTTGCATTATGTTGTTAGTTTATTTATCAAAGTAAAGAAGAAGGTATTACATAAATTGCTGCTATTTTAATTACTGTTTGGTATAAATGTAGTTTTTAATTGTTACTCTATTGTATTGAAACAAGTATATGGTTTGAGCTTTGATTGGATGCTCTGTATTTGAAAATTATATAATTTTTCATTCCAAAATTACCTAAATTTGTGCATTCGAATAGTCAAAATGTTATTGAACTAGCGACATCCAGTACCAATTCTTATATAGTGGTATGCATTGATGTTTCATCATGAAAATATAATTAATTATCTAAACAGATATGGGACTATGAACTGTTTAATCAGATTTTATTTTTTAGAGTATTAATATGCTTTAGTCATTTTGCTTATTTTTACCCTATTTTTTTTTTAAATAAAGGATATTAAATTAATAAGACTCAAAATGTAGGCTACGTTTTGTGAAATAATTGTGTAAAATTAAAATAAAGTAAAAGTAAATAGCTGAAATAAGTGAGTTAGAAAAATAATCTAGAAAGGTTTAGAAAGTGACCTATTCTATTGTTCAGTTACTTGAAAGTTAACACTTAAATAATATTACTCCAAAGCTGAAGCATTTAGTTTTGTTAATATTTGGGGGTTGTTAAAATTGATATGTTCTACATCTACTATTCAATATTAATTAGTAAAAATTGACCCATTTTTATCAACACATGGAGGATATCAAGACCTAGTTTAAGAGTTCAATGAAAACCTGAATTTGAAGGTGCACCCGAGGTCAGCAAACATTGTATTGAAATTAAAATAATTTATTCAGCAACCTGTTTAATGAGTCATGGCTGCTAAAAAACTTTGTTTACAATTCAGTTTCTCCAAAGAAAACATTTTTATTTTATCGTTCTTTATACTTCTACCTGGAAAATGGTTTATATTTGATATTTAATACTTTATTAAAACCTTTAAAAAAATGGCATAGCATTATCCACATTTAACACTACACTACTTGCGCTTGTAAAACACCATTTGGTTGTTTTGTTGTCAATGACATTTAAACTACAGGAAATAAATTAGGTTGTTATGAAGAAGTTAAATCTATCTACCTTTTCCATCGCTAAGATTAAAGTAAATGTGTAAATTGTCATAAAAAGTTTTGCAATGTATAGATGACATAAAAAGATAATTTATAAAACACAAGGAAAGTGTTTTATCTTTATGGCTGGTTGTTCTGTTTCAACGCTGCGTGCGTAACAAGACTCAAAATGAAAGCTTGGCAAATTTGACAGAATTTGATTTAATGCTACAATGACCGTTTTTGCTACTCGATGGAGTAGCAAAAACGGTCATTGCGCAATAAGATTTGTGCGTGATCATTTATTTTATCGATGTGGTTTACCTGCAATTCGGAAAATTATTATTTCTGACGCAGCAAACTTACGAAATACGCTGTGATTAGAAGTTTTGTCATACGTATATCAACGGGTCCTTGGGTTCTATCCCGACCGGGTCCACATGTTTCTAGTCAATTTATAATTTTTCTGCAATGTTGGACTTCGTCTGAAAAAGTGGATATTGCAAATCCGTCAAGGTGACGAATCACCGTCCATAGATGAAAAAGCAGTCCAGGTTAATCGCGTTTCGGTATCATTCTGTGGATTAGCGAATATCCCAAACCAAAAAAAGTCAACAGATTGTTGCTTAGATACACTATAGCTGGGAATTTCACCTACCATTAAGTGACAAGCATGGGGTGTCTGTCCTCTGTCACCGTCCATACAACATACCCCATCTGCCTGTACGGTCCCGCCAAAATCACAAGTAGGCATACAAACAGACACATAATCTTGTCACAGATGTGATGATGATTAAAGATGTAATTAATGATTCGCTTTAGGAAATAGCTGCAAATATTTTTACAATACGTTACTAATATACTTTCCTGAAAACAACTTTCGTAAGGGTAATCTATACTAATAAATAAAGCTGAAGAGTTTGTATGTTTGAACGTGCTAATTTCAGGAACTACGTGTTCGAATTGAATTTTTTTTTTGTTAGAGTTTTATGGAGGAAGGTTACAAAACATAGCCCTGTGACTAATACAAGTTAAGATACAACGAGAAATGTAGAAATAATATGGGAAAATTATTTATGGGTTTCCGAGGCGTACGCTGCAAAAACGGCTCAAGTTAGCCAAAAAATATGTATGAAGGAATGATACCTATTTAAATGACCTAAACATAAGTCTGCGACGCTATATATCTATCTTTTAAGATTAACTTGCAAGAACGACGGGAAGGGACGCGACCGCCGTCAACAGGTTAAGTTTATAAAGATGAAGGGGTTTGTAAAAAAGAAATGTTGATGCCCAAAATAACGATTCTCGCTGCCGAAGTCGCTGACCCAGCTAGTTATTAGCTAATTGTTGTAAACACTCAACTAAAACAAAATTTGTTAATTTGAACTTTGTGAATAACATTCGGTTTATCTAGTATTACTAGATACTTGTCTAATTTATCTTGGCTTTTCAAATAAGAAAGTGAAATCCGAACTAAACGATTATTCGCAATGAACTCGTAAAACGCGTTACACAACCGTAATCTTTTCCTAGTGTGCCTAGACTTTGCCGTAAGGAGAGAACGCCTAGGAAATGCATAGAGGAAAACCCTATCTTGAATACTACGCTATTATGCGACTGTTGTAATGGCATAGAACTGTTTAATTGGTAAAATTATAATAATACTTGTTATAATGAATTGAATAGAAATATAAGCAATTATAATAATATAAAAAAGGTCAATAATGAAAATAATAAAACGTAACAATTCCTAATACCACATATTATTATTTCTTTTTAGACAAATTTCATTTAAAACAAAGCCTAGACGCAAACGATACATCGTGGTTTGATTCTTTGGAAAAATACATAAAATAACGTGATTATAAAGTCATTATCGCTTACATTTTGTTAAGAGCGAAAGTGCCTTGTGTAACCTGATCACAGTCAGTAAAAACTGACAGTGGCCCAATGTGATTTGATTTCTTGTTTTATTTAGAAAGGTGCTTATTAGATACTTATATTAAGTAAAGTGTTATTAACGGTAACTCAATTACTTTTATATATATATTTTTGTTATGCGTTGAAAAACTCCGTGTCAATCAATGTACCAAATTACCTTACAAGAGGACAGACTTTCAAGTTCTTAACTTCAAATAAAAAAATCCTTAAAATCATTACTTAAGTCATTCTTTTAAATGGCCAATGGTTTAGGAAGTGATTAGTTAGTGATAAGTTAGCAGTTGATATAGCGATAAATGCATCATGGATGATAGCTAGTTAATCCCAAATTTTGAAACTGGACTTGTGGCAATTAGTTTATTTGAAACCTCGATGTTATAGATTCGGATCCCCCTAAAAATATACGTGTTTTGAAAAAAAATTGTGAACACTCTTTTATACGATTGTTTTTTATTTTTTTGTACCTTGCCAATACAATAGAAGAGACGCGTTTCCTAACTGTTGTCGGTGAACTGTGAAGTGTTTGTCACGCTTTAAGGCGGTGTGTCTGGCGCCAACGGAGTCCCTCCGAATTGTACGAGTTTCTTTTCTAACCTACTTTGCCGTTAATCCACGAGAGCTTTTTGTACGGAAGCGATTTGCGACGGTCGTTTTCGCATTTCAAATAATCGTTGTGGCTTTAAGACATGACCTTTTGTCACAAAATTTAGTTACAGCATGTATGCGAAGAACTTTCGTTAACATTATCTTTTAGATCTAAATCTACTTCTATCGACGTCTACTTTGTTTTGTAGTAGTTAAAAGATGAAAGAAGTAAATAATTTAGAAGTAGATTTACATGAAAGAAAAAAGACAATAAAAAAAAAAATAGTGGGACAATTACTAGTTTCCACAGTTAGAATGGATAATATAATATCAATGTTTTTATACTATTAGGTATAGGAATAAAAAATAACAAAACAAATCAAATTTTTCCACCCAAAAACAATTTTAGACATACCAAGATGCGAGCGTTCTTTTTTTATTTATTTTTTCCTTGTTTGTTGCTAAATTATTCATCAAAACCTGTTTTTTATCTAAAATACTTAAGATCGACTCGATAGCTTTAGAAAACCGACAACATTAGTAAATTAATATTGACTATATTATATCACGACACGTGTATTCTAACAATGTAAAGCAATGAAAACCTAATACGCCATGTAAACAGTAAGCTCATTATAAATAGAGTGACAGACGTAACGACTTATACAAATACTCTTGAATAGTTGAGACTGAAAAATACTATACTAAGATAATGTCACGACGTACGAAATCTTTACTAATTCGATAATAGCAAAGTGGTTTACGGTTAAAACGGATTTAATACAAATTTAATTTATCATACACTAGCTGTGTCAGCGATGTGGTCCGCGTAGAAAAGTTATTTTGGGCATCCAAATTTGTTTTTGCAAACCTTTCATTTATAAAGTTAAGCAACCCACGACATCGGTCGCGTCCAAGTTAGTCTTAAAAGATAGATATAGTTTCGCTGACATTTTTTTTTCAGATTATTTAAAGAGTATATATATTTTTTGGGTGTCTTGAACCGTTTTCGCACCGTACTCATCAGAAACCAACAGAGATGAAAATTTTTCCCCGTTTTGGTCACATTTCCCGCTGTATCTTCGTTTCTATTAGTCACAGCGCGATGTTTTACCCTTTAGCCTTCCTTAATAAATGCTGTAACTAACACAAAAATAATTTTTCAATTCGAACCCGTAGTTCCTGGGATTACAGCGTTCAAACAAACAAACTCCTCGGCTTTATATATTAAGTATAGATATGTCTCTTATATTATTATACCACATATGTGTCCTTCTATTTCCATCTCCACCTAACGCCCAATAAACGAGTTGCAATCAAAAAATCTTCATATGAAATTAAATAATGATATTATGATACTTTATTTAGTATTCTGAAACGGAATCTTGCGCAACTCACCTTGACTTAATATCGACACTTTTAAACAATGCTTAAAAGGACATTGTGGACATCAAATAAATTGAAATAGCGTGCGAATGATTTACTTTTTTATTTTAATTAGTTTAATTGTCTGAATGTATAATTAATGATACTTGGAACATTAAGTATAATAATGAACTTCGAGCAAAACTACTTAATAATTATTAGTATTATAAATAATTGCAATAAGATTAATGCTGGCATGAAATATAGTTTATTTTTTTAATGATAGAGGACAAACATGGCATGGGGTTCAATTAATGGTAGGTGATATACCCCTGCCTATAGCATCTAAACAAGATGCGCTGTCGGCCTATTTTAACCTTGGATATTCGGAAATCGCTGGTGGTGGACGGTGGTGGTGGTTCCTGACCCGGGCGCAATGTCTATATTCCTACCACCCATTTAATATCCAGGTTTCCAGACGAAGTCCAGCGTGTTTCAGAAAACTTAGAAACACGTTGGACCTGGGGTTCGAACCCGCGACCATCGTTAGCCATACATCGCTACCATTAGTCCAACGAGCACGTCAATAGTTTCTGTAAAAGTATATAAGTATGCATAATCTATACCTACTTGCATTAAATAGTCCGGGTTTAATAATAAAAAGACAAAATACAGAGTTTTAACAGAGGGTTGAAAAAATGAATGTCTTTAAATATTCGTTTTTATTTTATTTGTAGATTTAAGTAATTTTGTTTGTTAATAGGTGCGGCTCAAACATGCCGCAGTCTGCGACGCTCCGGCCCACGTTCGCTTAGCACATGCGCGGTTCTATGCAAAGGGCCCACAGAGCATCCTCCGGGGACACAGCATACTGGGAAAGAAGCGTCTACTGCTGGTGAGCTAACCATTCTATTTTACTAAGAAATCTCATAGCACATGAAGACAAACGATAATAGTGTACGCCAATTTTATTGGATTGGAGCATTTATTTAGGATGACTTTGGGCTAAAACACCAGGCTGTGACCAATAGGAGCGAGTTAAAATGCGAGGTTCCAGATAGCTAAAGAATATGTATAAAAAAATAATTATTTTTTTGAATAATAAAAGAAATCGTCCATGTGTATATTTTTTTTAGACTCACATTTTTTATGGTAATCAAATTTGTCGAAATACTTTATATGGCAAAATAACGATTGCCAGGTTAGCTAGTATGTAGATATAGAAGGTATCAAATACAAATCAGCCTGCGCCGTAGATTACAACCTCATTACAGGTCAATGATAAGAAAATATCGGATTATTATTGACCAGGATCGAATCTACGACCTCACGATTAAGTGTCGTGATGGTCAAAGCGAGTATGCTTATTTGGTTTCATGTTGAGGTTGACGGCCTCGAACGAGTTTTAGTTATAAACATGGCAAGGTTGGGTTGTTTATCCGCGCAGTGTTTTATATACAAGCACACACTCGCAAAATCTCATACTCTCCCATAAATCAGTTATAACTTTGGTTTCTTAGATTCTCATAGGAATGTTAAGTATTTTTGTAAAACCGTTTTAAATTATAGATACGTACCGTAATTTTTGGGGGTTAAACCCCCAATTCAAGAAATTTAAAAAACTTTAAAAAGCCTAATGTTATATAGGTATTACCGACTAATGACGTCGTCTTGAGATGAGTAAACAATAGTGGAACATTACAAAAAAGACAGAATCTAAATTTAAAAGTGCTGCGGAGCAAACAAAACAAGTAATTTATTTATGATCCTCGTTTGGTATTTTTTTTAAAGAAATAATTGTAACTAGAAAAAATTAAGGAAAATATTGCGACATGCGGTATTTCTATAGCAGAAACTACCAATTAGCATTCAAATAATATTTATTTTTGATTACAGTCAAAATCTGTAGTAGACTTAACTTTTCCAAATTATGTTTCTCGTCTAAAGCACAAAATGTATTTAGCTATATATGCACGAATGGTTTTACGTGGCCGGTCAAAAGCCTTGCTATCACATTATTCAACAAGGTTAATGTTAAGTATTCGCGAATGGATTAATTAAACATGTTTTATTGACGTTTTTTTTTAAATCTTAAGGTTTATAATCAATAGTTTGTGTTGTATAAGGAAAAAAATATTTCACAGTACTTTCGAGGTTACTTTAAATAATCGTTTTGAATTCTATTTTTAAATGTTCATGCATTCGAAATTTGTAAAATAAAAGACCATTTTGAAATAATGTGGTCACGCGTAATTATTTTTAAATTGAGTGCATTTAAGAAAAAAATTATTCTTTAAATATTCATAGTAATTTTTCCTGTACCTAAGGCTTAAGTTAATCCTTTTGTTCCTTATTTCCTACAATTATACCTAGATGTTGAGGATAAAATATTGCCCTATCACACCCGGCAGTGATAATGAGTTTTATCAAAACATAGCAACGGAAAATAAACAATAGCCAATATCGAATGTAGACAAATGTCGCGAGGTCGTTGACTCTTATTTTTGTTTAGCAATATTCGTAGCGTCTTTAATTCGTTCATTGTTCAAATTTGAAATTGACAATCATAACAGGAGGCCGACGGACGAAAATATTTTGGAATTGTTAAACACAATCTTTGATAGCGACAGCTATATGAAACTTTCATTTAACACTTCAGGGATTTGAACAAGCAATATATCCGTTTAATTATTGTCAACTAGGTAGAACCAGTGCCTTTTACAGCTGTCATAGTAAAAGGGGGCTTAATTTAATTAAGGAAACTTTAATATGATTTACCAAGCTTTATAAGAGAATTGACCAAGTGTCTAGAATTCTGCAGAATTGCTGTTTAACTTATCTGTATAACAATTTTAAGGTGGCGCAGGTGGAAAGAAATCTGGCAGCGGTGTGCTGACGTGCCCCAAGTGCGGAGACCCGTGCACTCACGTGGAGACTTTCGTCAGCTCCACGCGCTTCGTCAAATGCGATAAATGCCACCATTTCTTCGTCGTGCTCAGTGAGGTCGACACCAAAAAGAGCATCAAAGACAATGCGGAAGCCAAGAACGGCTTTTACAGGTAGGGTTTTTACACTGTAGCTGTCTGTCTCTTTTAAACAGTTTTCAACTGATGGAAACCGCGAATTAATCAATTCCAAGTATAATTTACGTCTAACCCTGTTTAAAATGTTTTTTTTTTAGTTAATACCGCTTGCATAAAGTATTCGCCTTTAAATGTGACTCTAATAACGAAATATGCTACAGAGCGACTAAATATAAAATGAACAACATTATATATAAAAACAATCCTTCTAAGACAAATCATATAAATTGAGTACTATTCATATTTAAAATTTTGTTTTCTCACTTTAAATAGGATAGAGAAATGTGGATAATATTAAGAAAGTCATTCTAAAATATAACCCGGGTTAACAAACCGCTCTTGAATGAAACCTACGAATAATTGCACGATTCGGCTTGTCTGAAAAACCGCCCTATTTTGTATCCGGGCAATGAACGCCAATCGTTTGTAAATCCATTCATCTATCAGCTGTTTTTGTGTCAATTACCTTTTATCAGTGTTGTTTGAATACATTTCTGCCTTATGCACAATAATTTCGATTAGCTTTATCGTACTTACAGGCTCAACTGCCCTGTTTCTTTAGAAACAACGAGCAAAATTGTATGTTTATATACCTAAAATTTATTTTATAAATAACAAACTCAATTTGACAAAAATCTGTAATTAATATTTTTATTTTTATACTATTTTTTTAAATATTGCTACAGTACTATTGTATATTTCTATAATATGTGGGATATTTTTAACGGTTGACAGAAAACTTACGAAAATGTCCACTTTGACTAACGATGTTAAACAAAGGTTACACCGTGCTTTTATCGTCATTTGTTCTAGTCACTGTTATTGTGTACATAGTTGGAATCACACTGTAGAAAATAGAATAATTATGATTAAATTGATTTAAAAATTAAATCCAGTTTTAACGAAGTGGATACGTCCAATTCCTTTTAGCTGTTAAATGTTGAATGTTGTAGAGCGTAACAAAGTCTCTTCTAAAGGGAAACATCGTTAGAAAACCGACACGCCTATTAAGTCTTCTTGATCGTGGGTTTAGCCGCTACACAAGTACATTTCTATCTGTGTGTATACACGTCCATGCTAATATCATAAATAGACAAAAGTAATAGTATTCTGACTGTTCTGACGTCGTCGTCTGATAGACAATGTCAATGTATCGCGGGTTGATTGCGCGGGGAATTGTAATGTCACGATCACTAGACTACGCTATGCTCGTGACATTGTATGGAATATGACATGGTTAACTTTCTATTTTCTATAGCATAGCTTGTGTGTATTTTGTAACGTACAAAGCACAGTTTTTCTATATACTGTTTGTGTTACATATCACTTGCCCTTTAGTATATGTTAGCTCGTAGGTTCGTCAGCGACTTCGTCCGCGTACAATAGTTATTTTGGGCATCCAAACTTGTTATTGCAAAGATGAAGAGGAGAGTCTTTATAATTTTAAGCTGTTATCCACGACGTCAGTCGCGTCCCGTCGTTCTTGCGAGTTGATCTTAAAAGATAGACATTTACTGTCGTCGACATTTTTTAAATCATTTAAAGAGAAATCATTTTTTAGCATATTTTTTAGTATCTTGAATCGTTCTCACGGCGTACGCAACGGAAACCCACAAGGGCTAATCATTTTCCCCATTATTTCCACATTTACCGCTGTTTCTTCGCTCCTATTAGTATATATATTACTATAGACTATATAAGCGGCACATAGATTTCGTATTCTTTATTCAAATTATCAACTTGACAACAGCCTTAAGTCTATGAAGAATTTAATAAGTTAATCAAATAACTATGATGCATTTGAAGCCTCCAGCGTCATACTAGCGTGTTACAAAATATCAATATTATGATAGTTAATGAAAACAATAACGTGTTATCAAATGTTATCACTACGAGACATTTATTATCGTTCTCGCTGTACAGTCTTTTTAATCGGCCGATGTACCAAATCAACGGAATTCAAGTGCGGAAATAATATTAGATATATCAAATACTGATTATTGTACTTTGGTCTTTTCGCGTTTCAACTACATTGAACACGATAAAAATAAATGATTAATTTTAAATACTCAAGACTATATGTATAACACAAAATTATCTTTTATACAAACGATAAACATAAAAATTTATGTGGATTAGTTGTCTTATAAATACGTACTTGTACAACTAAATGCTTGATTCAAGATACTTTTTGGTTTGTAGCCCTATAATAATTTAAATAAAACACTGGTCACAACACAAACTTAGTCACACCGTGACCACGATTGCTGCAATGCATCCGAAACGCCGGGCCGTATTTCAATAATTATGTAAAGTATGTGTAAGTATGTTAAAATATGTAAATAATTTCCAAATAAGTTTAACGCGCTTTAAACCGTTTTAAAGTGTTTTATTTAAATGTACTTAACATGCCACTTAACGTAGGTCATAAGCTACAGAAATCATTTAACTCTATATGAAGCTTATGTTATCGTAATGAATCGACATGGGTATCGAGGCCCTCCCATTAGATGTATATTTGAGTATTTTTACAAAGCCAAAACCCCAAAATTTAAATTGCCGACATTTCACCACAATAATGAATGTATCGCTACAGAAAACCTCCCCCTCCGCCGAAGAAGATTTTTGAATACCTGAACAAGCATGTGGTGGGTCAGGAGTTCGCGAAGAAGGTGCTCTCTGTGGCCGTGTACAACCACTACAAGAGGATCTACAACAACGTCACGAGCAACGCAACTGCGGACACGCATCACCCACTGCACCATGCACACAAAGGTAAGTTTTTGTAATTTGACAAAACTAAAGTTATCTATTTATATCGACTTTACATAAGCACAAGCTAAATTTAATAATGTATTTATGCCGAAATAGAAATTAACAAATTGTTGGTATTCCGTACCTAATCTGTTTAATAATTTAAATTAATATAAAATCTAAACTAAGATTGTATTTAGTTTTTTACAACCTAGCTTCTTTAAACAAGTACTTGTCTTACCAATCAATTGATTTCAGCACAAATAGTTTTTAATATTAATATGTAATAGAATATTGTTTGATATGTCTATTTCATTCTCTTACTATATCAATATGTAAACTGTGTACCCAATTCCTTTTGTTGTTAATATTGCAGATCTACTCCACTTGAGCCATAGCAGCGCTGGTAGCGGTGGCGGTGGCGGGGGAGGTACTCGAGAGGCAAAACCACGAGCTGAGACTAGATAAGAGCAACGTTCTGTTACTGGGACCCACCGGCAGTGGTAAGTATATTTCAGCTTGGCAAAAAATCCTAGGTCACCTAATGTAACGCAAAGGGGTGATCACTGTTTAAAGATTATTCATTAATCTAGACCAAAGTAAATACGTATATACAATGATTTAAAAAAATACATAAATGGGTTGCAATTATCACATACACTAACTTTGCGGTAGGACATCACTCAGCAGTTCCTGCAACAACAGATCTGCTGCAGCGCTGATTTTCAGTGTGCCCCATGAATGACACTCAGAATGACAGCGAGAAATAATGTGGTAGTTAATAAAGCGGAAATATAAGTATAAATTTAAAATAAAATGGTTGTCAATAGGAAAGACACTGCTCGCGCAAACAATAGCGACGTGCCTGGACGTTCCCTTTGCGATCTGTGATTGTACGACGCTCACGCAGGCCGGATACGTCGGAGAGGACATTGAGAGTGTCATCGCCAAACTGTTGCAGGACGCCAATTTCAAGTAAGAGCGTAAAAAAATTTTGTTGATAAAAACTAAATCTATACTAATATTATAAAGATAAAGTTTGTTTGAACGCACTTATCTCAGGAATTATTTGCTCGAATTCAAAAATATTTTTGTCCTTATTTGATACTGAAAGCATTATATTTACAAACAAGCACATACTGGCATCTATGCTCTGCCTGATCAAAAAAACTTTAGAATGTTAATCTGATTGAAATATTCACCAAATGTCTTGTGATCTTTTTTACATAATAATTTTGTAAAATGTGTATTTTGTAGTAGCGTCAGTGGTTATAGTAAAACGAGAACAATTCAATTTTGTCTTCAGTGTCGAACGCGCCCAAACCGGTATCGTGTTCCTTGACGAGGTTGATAAGATTGGAGCAGTACCAGGGATACATCAGCTGAGAGATGTCGGAGGTAAGAAGGGTTTTTGAAAATGTAGACTAATTGGAGAAGCCGATACTCGTGTCGTACCTTTCTATTAACTGATCATGTCGTTTTCCACACAAAAACAAAACAAAAACACTCTTAGACTACACACAATGTAAATAAAATTGTTTGTACGATAAAGGTGTAATGGATGTATCTTTGTCCTTCTCATTTTTTACATTTTGATTGTGTGAACAGGAATCCCAAACATTTTACTCTATTTTACACTTTACTTATTAAATGAACAACTGCTTCATTATTTAACAACACACTATAAAAACTCTAATGCGTTTCAGGCGAAGGCGTGCAACAGGGTATGCTTAAGATGCTGGAAGGGTGTGTGGTGTCAGTACCCGAGCGCAACTCTAGAAAGCTGCGAGGTGATGCTGTACAAGTCGACACAACCAACATCCTCTTCGTCGCTAGTGGCGCTTACAATGGCCTTGATAGGTATATAGATTACGATGTTTCGTGGCCGACACACCGGCTTCAGTTATTTCGTAACGTTCTATTTCGCGCCTTTTTCGTCTGTAAACTGTATTTTTTTTATTTAAATTGTAAATTTCAAGTTATTTGTTTCCAATACACACACAAACATATAAAAATAGTCAGTCCAATTGTTACATGAATGTAAATTAGGATCATCTTTCCCTCTTTCAGGCTGATCCAGCGTCGCAACAACGAGAAATATCTCGGCTTCGGCGCGTGGGATCCGAAGTCGGGACGGCGCGCAGCCTTCGCCGCAGCTGCCGCGGACGCGTCGCCCCTCGACACGGCGCGAGACGAGTGCGAGGAGAGAGATGCCTGGCTCAGAAAGGTGCAGGCGAGAGACCTCATCGACTTCGGCATGATACCGGTACTGTATTAAAACGTTTACATATGTTTATCAATAGAACAACAGATTCATCCTGCTCGAAGGACCATAATGTAGAAATATTTACTATCGATTCACAAAAAAATAAAGTCTTTTTATGTCTTTAACGTTGTTGTTTCGTGAATAATATAACGTTTTGTTTAATTTTTCAGGAATTCGTCGGTCGGTTTCCTGTTCTGGTACCCTTCCACAGTCTCAACCAGGATCTCTTAGTGCGAATACTCACAGAACCGAAGAACGCTATTGTAAGTTACTTTAGAATGAGGAGAAAAAAGTGTACGCACCTGTAAATAAAAAAATATATATCAAGATAATTAATAAGTTATTGCATTACTACTTTTCAACATTACTATTACATCTTAGGTTTCGTAAACTGATCATTTTAAGCCAGTTTAGATTCAGTTAAAACTAACTACCATAACCATTATAACACAACGTGCAACACTGACACTTACAGGTAATAAAGGTACAAATTGTTTGTTTGCTATATAATATCAAGATACCAATTATTTATAATCGTTTGAAATATTTAGTTAAAATACAGTTTTAAATAAAGTTAAAATGTTAAATGAATTGATTGCAGGTCGCCCAGTATAAGCTACTGTTCGCGATGGACAAGTGCGAGTTGTCGTTTAGCGACGATGCGTTGAGAGCGGTCGCCTCGCTCGCAATGGAAAGGAAGACAGGCGCTCGAGGTCTCAGGGCTATTATGGTGAGTAACCCAAGTAACCCAAACCCATAATTTTGATTAAGTCTTGGGTACAAATTTGTACTCGAAAATTCCTTAAAAAACTGTCAACTAGCATTTTGGCAACATCTTAATAGACCGCTTCTGTAGTTGTAATAAACATGTTACGCATTGCGTTAAGCGTGACAACACCGAATTGTTTCAGTCGGGCAGGGCGCAGAAGTCTAATCAACTACTTGTCTGTAAATAAAACCGATCAGTGATACGGACACAGAAGTGTGTTCGCGTTTAAAAGACTTTATAACAGTGAGCCGGCGTTGTAATTTTAGAAGAATTATAAAATGAAAAATTAGAATCATGTTAGTAGGGATCGAACCCATGACCCGTTGATTATTCTATTAGCCATAAATTGTTACCCTTAGACCAACGAGCCCATAAAAAGTATCACCGAATGAATTGCTTTGTAGGAAAATCTACTACTTGAGGTGATGTTCGAGATCCCAGGGTCAGATATCACATCGGTCCACATCCACGAGGGCTGCGTGCGTCGCGCGGAACCACCCCGCCTCACAAGGAGACACGCAGACGCCGACGTCCACCATTGGCCCTCGGTGCGCCTCCACAATTGTACGTGCCCACGCGCACACCCCAATACACTTTCTACATCTCCGACAAACACTTCAATATTAACTCAACTATAATGTAGTTCTCCTCTGCTAGGAGAAATGGGTAAAATGGTCAGCTGAAGGTGTGGACTAATCAGCTGGCCTTCTACCGGTGTCCCCGATAGAAAATAATAATTTAGTTGGTTTTACACACACAAACATAAAAAAAATTACTCACTTTTATTATAAGTTTGGATTTCTCTATATATAGTTATGAATCATTAAATGGTACAAATTACGCATGCCAAAATGCTTAACGATACCACACTCTTTCGGACAAACATTGAAAGAAGACTAGGCGTCTTATCTTTGGAATAGCTGGAGTTTCTTTTGCAGGAGTCTTACGATAATACAGCTTTCTGTTCACGCACCCAAGACGGATTCTATATTTGAGGCCAGCGCGCACAAGTAAATGGGCCGATTTTTTTTTTTTTTGTAGTCGAATGCATAAGGCAGTAGATATTTTGATTTGTGCTCAGTTTAACCTTGTGGAACATTAATTGGAGTGATGAATTTTAATTCAAAATAAAACATTGAAATTCCCTCTATTGTTTGTGAAAAGTTTACTATTTATTATTCTATATTGCAATAAATGTTTCCCTGCGGGTATAAGTACTGAGTGTCGGTATTTTTGTTCGTTTCGCGACATTTTAAAGAAACTAAAAGACGATTTGGTTAGTTTTATTTTCAGTTGTTTGTAGAACTTTTGAAGTAATATGTTTAGAATCGTTATGCCTTACATTTTCTTATAGGTCACGTAATTTATGCCATTTTTGTAATAGATATATATTGTTTTGTATTCTTTCCAGGAATTTAAAGCGGAACCAGAACCATCAGTAAACCAGTACGCGCTCTGAAAGAAGACACAAACATAGACACGTCTATAATCTACGCCCATAGATAATGCGTTCCAAAACACCAATTGTCTAAGCTCGATCAAGATTTTTTCCTAGTTAGCGTTAGAATTGAAATAATAATAAAACTTTCATCGCAACGACTTTCTGACACTATCTAATACTTCACTTTCTACAACATATGGAAAACCCTTCTTGCCGTACCTATGATACCCTAAACGGTTGAAACTATAGATAAAAAATATTCTAAAAATTACAATGTTAGTTCCTTATGTTGAAAAAACGTGAGACACATGCGAGCTCTTGTGATGTAAATTACTGTAAATATTAAAGTATAGAAGAGTTATAATAAGATTTAATAGAATAGACATTTTTATTTACTGTTATAGGCCTCCGAATGTTCATTATTTTAACAGAGTTTCGGCATTATAATTGATAAGTAGGGAAAGAAATTATTAAGTTTGGCAACACCGAAATGTTTTGACACTTTGTTTTTTCTTATACATAGTTTTTTTATTTAACGCAATGTGATGTGATTATAGATAAGTTTATAAATTTAACGGTAGATAATTTTAGATATGTTTTCAACGGATTATATAATCACATTACAAATAGAAGAATAGTGTAAGCTTATTTTCGAATAAAAATATTAAAAGTAAATTTGTTTTATTCGTATCCTGAAAAACTACCTATGAATTGTATTAGATAATGTGTCTGAGAACATGTATATATAAATCTTGTTATATGGAAAAGTAAGGTCATAACACTTTTATTATTATTCAATGGAATTAAGTATATACATTTCTATAATAATGCGTTATAGCTTGCTACTGTACACACTTAGCGCGGTTTTTTGGGAAAATTGAAATTTTTGTTCTATTCTGTGCTACTATAAAAATAATTACTGAGCACAAAGTTCGGCACAACATTTTAATGTGCTACTCTGCAAAAAAGCAGTGTTAAGGAAAAATATTATCTTTATATTTCAGAAACAAACGCAAAAAATACATTTTATCTAGTTGTACAGGATATCACAAATCAGCGCAAGAAAAATATTGTCATATCTCTGAAACATTCACACAACAAGATTTCGTTTAACACTAAACTCTTTATAAGTTTCGTTCGTAACGATGTCTATTAAAATATCCACCATTTTGTAAACATCCTCGTAGCTTGTGTAAAAGGCGGTGGGTGCGAGTCTAATCACGTTGGGGTCTCGAAAGTCCGGAACTACTCCACGAGCCTTTAACGCCAATGATATCCTGTACCCTTCACCGTGTTCTAAGCACACATGCCCCCTCTCTTTACTGTCTTCTCGAGGATTTCCCACTGAAAAACCGAACCGTGTTAATTTTTGGTCGATCAAATCGATCAAGTATTTTGTAATCTTCAAGGATTTCTTTCTGATTTCCGTCATACCGACGTCTGAAAATATTTTTAGAGACCCTTCTAATGCTCCCATGGATAATAAATGTGGTGTTCCTATTTGCCAACCCCCAGCGTCCTTCCGGTGGTCGAATTCCTGACGTAGCATGAACTGAGTCTCGCATCTGTTCCCGAACCATCCGGCCATGCCAGGCAGGAGGTCAAAGTGCTTTCTGTTGATGTACAGAGCCGCCGGTGATCCAGGACCCCCGTTTAAGTATTTATAAGTGCACCATACAGCAAAATCTACATTAAGTTCTTTTAAATTGACTTCTAGTACACCAGCCGCGTGGCTCATGTCCCACCCTACAATAATACCCTTCTTTTTTGCGGCTTCTGTGACTTTCTTCATATCCAGAACTTGTGCTGTTCTGTAGTAAACAGTGGGAAGTAACAGAATCGCTACGTCATCTGTCATCGCCTCTATCACATCGTCTTCGTTAAGATATTTTCCATTTCGTTTTACTATTTTTACTGCATCCTCTGGATCGTAACCCTTTAATCTCACTTGACTATCTACGGCGTATCTGTCTGTAGGGAAGTTGATGTCATCTTGTAATATCCTATAGCGCTCCTTAGTGGGCTTGTAGAACGTGCTGACGAGTTGATGGATGTTGACTGTTGTTGATGATACAATGGCGACTTCGTCGTGATCTGCTCCAAATAATGGCGCCATAAGTTTTGCTAAATGCATAGAATACATGTAAAACTTGTTGTTATCTACATTCCAAATCTTGACTCCTTCTTTTTTCCATTGTTCAAGGACTTGTATTGTTGTTTCTTCGGAGTCCTTCGAAGCTAAGCCCAATGAATTTCCGCACATGTAAATTGAGTTATTTTTAATATAGAATTTTTTACGGAGGTACCCAAGACAGTCATTATTGTCCAAGAACTGAGCGAACTCGAGGCCATCTTTAAATTCGTAGTTCATTTTTACAACGAGGCTTTACCAGTCGAGTAACTTCATGAACAAATATAAAATGAAGAAATTCAACGTGCGTCAAGGCAGCTCGAAACGAAAATTAAATGTGAATATTATTTTGCCTTTATTTATACAAACAAATGCCTCACCAGCAGTTCTTATACAAAATAAATATCCGCTCATAGAGTGTACTTAGAAAAAACAAACACTGTATTTCTTCCGCAAATAATTATATTGTGTTCGTACCACGCCTTATTACTGAGGCGGAAAGGGTGATAATGTAGATTGCTTTACTTATGTTTTGATCTAGGTGCCTCTACTTTGTATACTGTGGTACTACTACTTTGATGCGGTATTTTGCAATATCGTGATAATGTGGCCATAAAATAGGTTGTTCTTTTCACACTATAAATTTTTTCGTGGTGACCATACCTATAAATATTATATATTAAAGTTAAATGAAGTCTTGAAGATATAGAAATAATACTAATAAACTGCTACTAGAAGAATTTATACGAGTTATTACTTTCTTAATCTACCCTCTTAATTCTAGTGACCATAAGCACAAGTTGGTTGAATAAAAATGTTAATCAAGACTAATATTATAAATGGGAAAGTCACTCCGTCTGTGTCTGTCCGGCTTTGACGCCGAAACTACTGGACCGATTTAAATGAAATTTGGTACTTTTGCTGTACGAAAAATAGTTAGTAGGTGTTAATTGAGGCATTAAAAGTTAGTGTGGATGTGGCAACTTATGTGGCATGCTATTTATTTTGGCAACAGATGGGAAAAAACGCAGTTTATAAAAATGTTTGAGTACATTTTCGTAAGCATATAAAAATACACTATACCATGGATATACTTATTATGAATACGTTAATTAGTTCTTTACAGTGAAACGCTGTATTTACCCGCGTATCTTACTTATCAAATTTATAAAATAAATAAATAAAAAATCTAAATAATTTAAAATTCTACCCAAAGTTACTATTCCACGCGGACGAAGTCGCGGGCACAGCTAGTGTATTACCAAGGGAAACAAAAAAAACGAGGAACTGAGTTATTTCGGATTTACCGCAACCGATGCTATGAACCAAATGATAATTAAAACAATAATTGTGCACAACATTTTTTCCTTCTCTGAACATTACTGGACAAGGATTTAATTATTATAGTGATTGACCAACGACTTATAAGTGCAATTTTACGAGTTATACGGTAAACGAATAATATTATTATGACTTTGTCACTCATTTTATATATAAATAAACCTTCGGATTCTTTTAAATGATAAGTATTTCTTTTATTGTATTATGTACATAATCTCTTAAGAAACAGTGGTTGAAAGAAATTTGGGATTTATCTTGCTCGGATAAAAAAAGCGCGGGAAACAGAAAAGTATGGCTACTTACGTTTTGTCATTTTTTAATTTAAATAACCATTTTCGCTGATAAATACTAAATAAGTAATTTCAATTCATGTAAAATTATACAGTTGAATAATTTATAACGTGTATATGCGTGTTTAATAACATTTTGTATTGACGCTTATCATATTTATAGTTTTAATATATTGTACCTAATTGTTCTAAAGTTTCATCCTGTAACCTTAACGGCAGTAAAATCTTGTAAGACCCACTCATATATTATCAGTTAGGGAATCAATGGCTTTTCTTGTTTGTCACCTTTTTAACATATATGTTTAACAAATAGCTTGCTAGTAAAAGAAGTTTTTGTTTTGAAGAATTGTCAAAAAGATTTAAGAAAACATATACATACTTATTTCATTTCAGAAAAAAATTTTGAAATTATTATTTTTTTCTTAAGTGCAATTTATAAGTAAATAAGCAAAAATACATAGTTTTGCTTATATTACTTACTAACCCGTTGGAATCTAAGTATAATAATGTACGTTACGTGCAAGAGCGACATTATGAAAGTATATTTTTTTTTTATGCAAACTATTTCGTTCAAGTTAAATGACAATAAGGAAACTTCAAACTCAACGCTAAAAACTATCTCATATCATTATGGTTCCCAAAGGAATTTCGATTAGATGTTTCTCTCAAACGCGTTCAGCGTGGAACCTTTGCTGGCCTAGTAGTCAATTTGGACCTCATCGAGTACAGAGGTCAGAAATGCTGAACGGCATCAAGATAGCAGCGGCTAAGACTGCCGGCACCCCTATAGCTGCTTGCACCGTTATGTTTCAGGTTCTGCATCGTTCAAATAAAATATATTCTTAAAATCCAGTAGGTAGATTTTATTTTAAAATTCACGGTTGACTTCTTGATGTTCACAACCGAATATCAGGCAGGGTCTCGCTTTGAAACAAACGACGATCTAGGATCTGGTCACTTTGTTCGAGTAACCACGCCGGCGTCCGGCTGCGGTTACACAGCTTTCTCTAAGACGAGGGTTCTGCAGCAGCTTGGAGCACACCTTACCTGCACATCTAATAGGCAGTACATCGCCTTTACACTCTGTTGTCCATTGCCTTCGTTCAAGGCTGTCAAGTATTATCTACTGGACACTGCGGCTCGGTAAAAAGCATTTTTACATACATATGTTAACGTTAAAAAAAATACTACCTGTCAGATTAAATAAGAAATTATCGTACAACATGTTATAGGTTACGTTGAGCGATATTATTAAACTAGAGTTTGTTTGTTGTATGCTGGCGACGCTGTTCATATTAGTTATTACATTTATAGTGTTTCCCGCTTAAAGCACTGTTATTTAAATTATCAAATGGTTGTATGAGCGCTATCTAACAGAAGAATAGTCGGGTTTTGCTGAAAATCCATGTTGTAGCATAACTGTGCTGCAACTTATGCTGACGCAAGACCCTTTTGGCAACACTTTTCTTTAAATTAAATTACTTGTTTCTTTCTAACATTGTACTAAATGAATGCCAAATAAAGAGATTTATTATTACTATTAATGCTTTACACAACGTGTTAAGTTCTAAAGCATTTTTTATTATGATCAAAAAATATTGTTGTTTTTAGATCCTGTTACAACGAATGGGACATCGAGGACGGCAAGCCGATAGTTCTCGATGACCTCTTCAGAATTACACCAGAGCAACGGGTTATAGATCTTGTTCAGCGAGCGTGCTGGGCAGGACCCCTGAGTAACTCTATCTACTGCGAAGAGGAAAGGGTAGACGACATGTCGCGGTCAACTTTGTGCTCCTTCGTATACAATAACTTCAAGTCCACTGAATGCTCGGTTGCCAGTGTAGGCGTGCCCTTCGACGAGACTTTAAAGATTGCCGACAAAATTGAAATTACGCGAGTACATATCTTTGATACTTTTACACGTTATTGCACCATATAATGGCACTATGTAGATTACAAATCGATTATAAGCTAAAAAAAAATTACGACTCGAGCAGGACTTGAACCGGCATCCACAGCGTCCCATAACGTTGCTCAAACCAAGTAAGGTACCGAGTCCTACGTCATCGTCGAATTTTTCAACAGTTCAATGTCCTATACTTTGCATCTTAAGAGAATCATTAAAGATAAAATTATTAAGTTTAACGTTTGAAAATATTTTTCACATGTTATTGCACATGATGGCATTATATAAATTAAATTAAATTTTAATATACCAATGGTCAAGTTTAAATTACATTGCGCGAGAGGTGTAAAAAAATAAAATAGGTTGTAAAAAATTCGACGATCACGAGTAGGATTCGTAGCTTAATTAGTAAGAGCAACAGCACGGATGGATGCAACACACGCTGTGGATGCCAGTTCAGTCCTGCCCGAGTCGTATTTTTTTCACTTTATAATCGATTTTCGACCTTTCAATCCATTGAACAGTAATATCAATAACACTTCAGTAAAAATCTCGTCTCCGTCGTTCAGTGTAAGCCACCGGAACGCGAAGTATGTATGTCACAACCGCGTGGTGGGTTTGAATATTACGAAACGGGTTCCGGCAGTGACACCTGCATAGCTGCTGTAGTGCCTGGCTGTGGAGCATCTGATATTACGTTAGTGATTGCGTTGGTTGATCAACTAGTGTAAGACCATCGAAAGTATTTTATATTGAAGACTAGCCGTGTCAGCGACTTCGTTCGCGCGGGATATTGTTTTGGTCATCTAATTTTGTTTTTGCAAACCCCTTCATCTTTATAAACATAAGCTGTTACCCGCGGTTCCCCCCCCGGTTGGTGGAAGAAAAAAAACCCCCGGGGGGGGACCCCCCCAAAAAAAAAAAAAAAGGGGGGAAAAAAAATTTTTTTTATAAAGAAGGGAATTTCCCCCCTAAAATTTTTTGGGGGGTTTAAAAAAATTCCCGGGGGGGGGAAAAAAACCCAAAAAAAAAATTTTTCCCCCCTTTTTCCCCCTTTCCCCAGGGGTTTTTTTATAGATATATATATATATATATATATATATATATATATCTATAAAACATCGCGCTATAGCTATCCTCGATAAATGCTCTAAAAACACAAAAATAACTTTTCAATTCGAACCAGTACTTTTTTTGCGCGTTCAAACAAACAAAAAACTTTTCAGTTTTATATATAGAGTAGTATAGATAATACTGGTGTTTGGATTTGCAGGTGCCTGTTTAAACATGCAATCATTGCAGCTGCATGCGGCACAGGTTCTGTGCAAACTGGGCAGCACGACCTTGACTATACACCGCATGGACCTTTGGGTCTCATGTCGGGAGCTGATGTTCACACGAGGTTTAGGGCCTTTAACATATCGTACGATGACACTGGAGTATTTGGTTAGTCTTATCGTCTGTACATTGAATTTCAAATTGTGTTGCTGATTATTAATTTATTTAAATTTAAATTATTATCCGCACCAAAGAACACAGAGAATATACACACGAAAAAAAAACAATTATATAAAACAATACGTTAATAAGTTTTAATTATCTCATACACTAACCTTGCTGAGGAAGGACTTCAGTCAACTCTTGCAACAACAGATTTAGTTTGTCATAGTAGTTACCTTGTTATAATATATCTCTCACCAATATACCTATATTATTATAATATAGTATAGTAAAGTACTAACTGATAGTCATTTGTTTTATCAATATTTAGATTAGCATATTATGATTATTTTTGTTGAAACTTAAAAATAAATGCATTCTTCGATTTTGTAATATATCTGATCGGAATTTTAAGAAATAAGATTTTCACTATAATATATCTTTAAAGGAATATTGTGCAACACACGTGCGAAGACCGCATACAACTCGACGTGTGCTCTAGTTGAATTCCTCTGCAATGTTGGAGATCTGGACTTTCGACAACTCGAAATTGGCAAAAAGCGATTAAGTAACTACAAAGTGAAATGTATTGATTGTAACCGCGTCCTAAAATAGTCGCCGACCTAATTATGTTTTTATACAGAACTTGATCTAGCGCTCCATGACCAAGAGGCGGCTCCATCATCAGAAGGTCTGGCGTTGCAGCTTGCTTGCGGCGTACAACTTGACAGCATTCATGATGCACTTGCGCTTATAGATAGCATTAGTGTCGATGAATTGTCCTGCACTGCTAAATGTCTTTCATCCAAACGTAAGTGTTGATTCATTTAAAATACAATACGGCCGACGTAAGTTGGCAGACCTGATCTAAGCGCGAAACGCTGCGCAGAAACGTTCTTAAGGATGTTAATGGTGGTAAGAGTGGGGGGCGGGACGAACATCTAGGCTAGTAATTGAATCAATGTCAACAGAATCGACCGCTTATTCAAATTTTGTAATCGATTTTTATCGATTTAGGTTGTGGATTTTAAATCATATGAGATATTGTACTAAATGGATTGATGAACACAGTGAATGGTGTTGTTAATAAACAATACCATGATTACCTTTAAAGGAAAATAAAATCATTAAAAACTTCTTTCATTATTGAACTACCTGATTTAGTTAAATATGAGTTATTATTTGTATAATTACTATTTATACCCTCTTTAGGGTTTTTATAAAATTATATTTCTACGATCCAATTTTGTCTATTTCAATAGGAATCGAACGACACTCTCAAGGATCGCGTATGGACATCTCTATTTGGTTCTTTCGTAAAGCTTCGTACATATTCGGTAATGTTCGGTAAACAGTAGTGCGCCTCGGTCATTCCTTGGTGTTAATTTCGCTATCCCTGTCTTGAGCGCAGTCCCTTAGAAAAGTGATTGTTTATTGTTAAATTTAATATTATTATTTCTCTTTTGTTGTATTTTTGTTTAGTCTCTGTATTTTAGTGAAAGATAAGTGGTGTTCGTAGCCCATATTCTCTTTGAATCAATTATTGGTATGTTACTTTTGCTTGCTATAGGTAAAATTTTTCATTTATCCCAGTAACGAAAATAAATGGCAGTATTAGTTTTCTTTACGAGTGTACATGCGCCAAAGTTAATCTAACCTCTGTCCTGAGTTGCCAAATTACATCGGCCATATTATAATTTATTGTTTGACTTCAATACAAGTTTTTTTTTATAGGTCACGAATTGGCAATAGCGGCTGTCGGCGATTGTGGCGCTGTACCACAAGAACTTTTCAGTGGATAGTGACATGTTAATATTAAAAATATTTATTAGATTATGCTGTTGTTACTTATTCAGTGTTTTGTAAAAACATTTGTTTGCTTGTATCACAACAACTTGTGAGTATCTAGTATTGTTTGTGGACATATTTTCTTTAATCAATTGTCAGGGACCTAAATGTCATAATTACAGATGTCAACGTCGGGTCACCGCTGTCTGTGCTTCGTTAATCATAATTCTTATATTTTCATAAATTAGTATTATTATGTATTATATTACTAATCTTTTAATGTTTTATTAAAAACGACGGTTATTTGGAGGCAATATGTTAAACTCATTTCAAAACACCGTAAAATGTAAGTCGTATAGGTTATAAAACAATTCGTAAAGTAATAACTCCTTTAATTATAAATCAATATTACAGATTTGCGATTGGTGAACATCAAAACAGCATTGACCACTCTAAAAGAATGTAAGCCAAATATAATAGCAAAACCTAACCTAGACTTGATGTCGAAAGCAAAAACAATTTCTTTCAGTCCGCGATATATCAATTTTGAAATACAAGACAAGCCCAAAGATAATAAAATCCAGCGAGATCCAATAGCCTACACTCCCATCATAAACCCGAGATCAATTCTACCATTAATTGAGTCTAACTGGCAGAAAGATGAGATTGGTTTGCCAGCTATTGATCGAGAAGAAAAGCAAGCTGTGCGTTTAATCGTAATCAGGCGGAAGAAGATGAAGAAGCACCAAAGAAGGAAGTTGTGGAAAAGGATGAGACATCGCTGGGCTAGGGTAGGTATTCGGACATCATAGCTCCTTATTTGAACCTATAGAAATAAGGGGCTAGGGTAGGTATTCGGACATCATAGCTCCTTATTTGAACCTATAGAAATAAGGCCAGATTTCTAAATAAATAGCTTGGATCAGTCAGAACATTAATAATAATTTGGGTCTCTCAAGACTACAATTACCTTTGTATTCAATCAGTTTGTCAGTTTGTAAAATGCTATCACAAAATATATGAATTTATTATTATTTCTCTACAAAAAAAGCTTTGAATGAACAAACAATCCGTTTGGTGTATTCTAGGTGAAGAAAAATCGTCGCATTAAGAAAGAGAAGGTCTTTCAATCAGAACTAGCAATGATGGTGAAGCAAGCTCATGAGTTTTCTGCAGAGCAATATGTTGCTAGCAAGATTGACCGTGCAAATCATACACCACTGCCAACACGCTGGAAACATAAGCGTCTACCTCAATTTATTATCCGCCAGTTACTGGGCATTGACAAGAAGATCAATTACAAGCACACAGATGTTTATAAGGCTTAGTTAGTAATAATGTTATAGTTTTAGCATCTGAGTAAATGAATATAATATTAGTTGGGTGTAACTTATTATTAAACTCTAAGTTGCTACGAAACACTTATAAATTTTAGATGTATGGTCTTTAACAGTATACAACCTCATGTATCAACATTTGTTTATCCCTATGCTGTGGGAGCTATTTATATTTTAACAATTTTCTTTATCCATTATAGTTCCTAATATTCGTCCAAGAATACATACTTATTTTTAAAATACAGAATAGTGACATCTGTTGCCAGTAGCTTAAAACGTTTGGACTTCGAACGTCAATATTTTGAAAGCAATACGTAATTAATCATAGATGGCGTTAATGCGAGTTGAATTATTACCAAATTAATATTCTTATTTTTTGGCTATTTACCGAGGAATACGCTGAAAAATATTACAACAAAAATTTAATGTTTCTTAAAAACTTCGGTTTTATTAATTATTTGTCGTTGACATAACTATTGGTGAAAAAAGATTTTGGGTAAAATTATGTTATTGACTACTTGTAATATTGACGAGTAAAATAACTAAACTACTGGTCTAAATGTTTACACCGAGAGAACAGAAAAGGAGATATATTTATTTTGTTAAGTTTAATAATTCTTCCAAATAGATAACTCTATTTCTAGATGTGATAAAATTAGTCTAACTGTAACGTCATACATATTGGTATTCTATGACTACCTGTATAGTTAAGATTGGATCAAAAATGGATTTCTCTCGCATTAATCACAGCTGGAATGTACCGTAAATTAAAATAACATCACGTAAACTTGTGTTTAAAGTGATAGCGGATAGCGTTGCAAGAATGTACGCTTTAAGCCTTAAGTTTTCTTTGTAATACTGTTTTACTAAGACAACTGACATAAGGCATCTTATATTTAGATTATCTACAATTATCCGACAATAAAAAAATGCACGTCGGATGTACAACCGTCTTTACTATATCACGGTTGTAAAAAACTTAAGCTACAATTGAGCTAGTAATGATTAAAAAAGATGAGAAACAAAATCATTGAGTACTATTAGATTACGGCGCGATGGTCTAATGTGTAGCCTAGCATTGGCGTAAGCATGAGAGATCCTGGGTTCGAATCGAATACATAATATGTTAGGCTACAAACCCCGCCGTATCTCGGGCCATATGACATCGTAGCGAGCTCGTCCTCTCGAAGTAGAATTTTTTGTTTTATGATAAACTTCTTAATTACGAATTCGACGCCCTGTTGACACAGATTAATGGTTCCCTCGGGATGTTTTCTTTTTTGTTATTTTTACTACATTCAGCGTGGCACTGGCAAAAAAGTGCTCGCTTGTTTACGTAAGTCGGCCGACGAGGCTTATCCGATGCTATCGAGATTAGTCAAAAGCCTTTGTAAATAAAAATCGAAGTACTACAGAGATAACGCCTTCTATCTAGACTCTTTTACTTTTTAACGCTGAGTTCAGCCTTTACCTGACCGTTCGAATAAAATCCACTTTACAAAGTAGTTACTTTTTTTAACTGATGGTGTGAATGCCTAATGCACGTCTGGCAATAGTGACATGGGAAGTGTGGTAAATCGTATAGCCGACCAGAACCACTAAACACACCACCAGCCCTCGAGGGTACTTTGAGGGAGCGCTACGAACACGTTGGTATGACTCCAGCTCCAGATACCAATGCCTATTTCAGACAAGGTTGTGGTGCGAGATTAGGGATTATCTTAGAGGTGCGCATAGCGTCACCTCCTTGATTCCTGTCTCATTGCTCGCAGTGGGTCATTAGACCCCATCTCTCTTGGTTTTTCAGCCGCCTCCTTATGCAGCATCACCAGCTCGCAGAAGGGGGCTTCCGCTTTCAAGGCGTCGTCTCCACGAAGCAAGTGTGAAACGACTCTTGGACGGGAGAGGTCACCACTTGCCTAAATGAACGATGTAAAATCAATTTCGTTAAGCAAAAGTAAAATAATTATTCTTAATGCAGGTTGAATATTTCTTTATTAAAACATCTTATAAAGGTTGGAGCGTTTTTGCCTACGTTTGAGTAATTAAGAATTCCTAGAAGGTTCTATGAAAAATTACTCTCGCTGGTCTAATGTAATTTGTTAAAGTTATATTACTTTAGTTTTTCATAATTCCAACTCTCTGAAGAGAATTAGTTACTAAAACACGATTCTCGGGTATTGTATTGTAGTTTTTGAAATTTTTTCTTAACTTAATTATATTCTTTAGTCTTAAGGCTAGAATAGCTAACAATTGTAATGAAATATTCAGTTCAATTGTTACTATGTTTAACTCTTGAAAATACAAGCTTCTAAAAAAAATGCGTACTTACGCCTAAGTATAACAAAATCTGAGTGAATATACAATATGGAGAATAAGTTTCTTTATATTGTATAATGAATTATTGTTCTTTAGTTAATTATTTTTATAATTATCCAGTATGTGAAATCAATGGTTTTATTTTCATTGGAAAATAAACCAGAGGAATATATAAAAAATTGGAGAAACATACTACATAGACTATGTATAAGGCAGAGATATATAATTTTTATTAATAAATATATTGTAATATAAGCAGCTTGGTGGATTAAATAACGTAGGGCGAGACGTAGTACTAATACGCTACGAGTGTGTAACTCGTGTAGATGTAGAACATTCTACGGAGTGCTACGAGTGCTTTACAATGGTGCTACGAGTATACATGTAGCGGTTATGTAACATAACGTTTATAGAAGTGGTCTAAATAAACTCAAATTAAAAGAAACTTGACGGGCAAGCGGTAGTGTTAAATGTAATGACTATTGCCACCGGCTACATCATAAGACTAGATTTGCATTTGCTAATTTAATATATTAGCTAACCTGGCAAACATTATTTTGAAAAATATTTTTATAATTTGTGTGAAAATAGTGAAATATCGTGTCCTTTGCGCCAGTAATGGTGTAGACACATTTATTTAACTTTGACACTGATCGATATTATATCATCACTAGCTATGGCCGCGTAAACCGCCTCCATATCATTTTAAAATCCCGTCGCCCTTGCAAGTTAATCTTGAAAGATAGGTTTTTTTAGATCGTTTAAAAAGGATTCCCCGTTTTGGGTAATATCATTTTTTTTCACAGCGCACGCAAAGGAAATCCACAAAGATGAATAATTTTCCACATTTCCCGTTGTTGCTTTGCCCTTAATGTACGCAGGGTGTCGCACTTTAATTGTGTCATTAGTTCGCGTATTAAGCTTATACTTAAGTCGATTTTGTTATACTGTTCGTGCTTGTGAAATAAGTGGTTTGAGTAATTCACTTGTGGCGTTGTTTAGACGTAAAAAGTGTACATATAAAGGGGCGATAGCTAGAGTGGCCCGATTTCCATGCTGGTTAAGCCCCACAACGCCGCAATTCTCGCGCTCTCTCTTTGTTCTCGACGACGTCATTAAGATGTTCAAGACACTTTGCAAAGAAAAAGATTTGCCGACGCGCTACGGATTTTCTTTTTCCTTGTATCTTAAACTTTTCTTACTGACGAGGTAATCTCAAACCCAAATTAAACATCTTTACGTTTTTTGCTCGTTCTACGCGCGACATTTCCGGGATTTTCACTAATGCGATGCATCGTTAAACAAAACAATTTGAGTTCAAAATGCAAAAAAATATATAAAAATTACGACGTCAGCGTTCCGTGCTGTTGCTCTAACCAATTTTGCTACCGAGTCCTACACGTCATCGTCGCATTTTTATAACTTATTGATACATGCACATGTACATGCACATTTTTAAACAAATTATTTTCGATTTTTAATTTATATAGTTCCATCATGTGCAAAAAAATATTAAACTTTTCAAAACAATTTGTCGTGGTTACCATTGTTGCCCATCAACCAATTGGGTACGTTTTGAACTGTAAAAAGTTGTTTATAAAAGGTTCCATCCGTTTTATCTTGACGTTTGGAGATCCAAGCACGGTTCGTTGAACCAAATTCCGCCAGAATTAGAACTGTTTTTAGCGTATATCTCGTCAAATAATCTCCTTTTATGAATACACTTTCTAAATATATTTTTTCAGAGTCAGTATGAGAATACACCTGCCAAAATAACCCCACAAAGCCGAGAAATAAATAAAAATCGTTCACAATTGAAGGGCTTTTATTTACGAAGTGTGAAAGTTCGAGGAGGGATTGATTATACCAAGGCTTATCGAGGCTTAAAATTTTTACGCCGTGGTCGTAAAATTCACTCTCCGAAAAAATACGCAGTGGAAACAAGTTAGTAAATTAATTCCCTTAATCTCAGTGAATTTTCTTTGATCTGAGGTATAACCGGTAAGAAGATATTTAAAGCTTGGTTCTAACCGAGTGTATCTAAGTAATTTATCCACATTTTTATACAAGATAAGCGTATACTTAATGTATTTTATTTATAATAATTACACATGAACGCTTATGTCACATTTTAATTTGATTCGAAAATTAAATGTATTATTTAAATTTGAATTTAAAAAATCTATATGTACGGAAACAGTAGCTTACTTGGTAAAACAATAACGCAGTACGGTGTACGCTACTTGTGCATTCGAGTAACGTCTGGATTACGTAAAAGAATGAGAAGTCTCCCCGTGTACACGAGTAGTACACATTTAAATAGAACACTTTGAACGGTTTAAAACGTGACGTATATTAGATAACTTATTTAGCTTTAATATTAGGGATACCCTCCATCTTCAGTCCCACCACAGCTACTGCAAAGCATAGCACAGCTAAAATATGTTGTTAATAATTACATTTTCAGTTTGAAATCATTAAAAATGTTTTGTTTAAATAGTTTTAATGAATTTGTATAACAGCAATGTGAAACTAAATCAAGACAGCCACGGGCAATTATTAGAAATAAGAGGATCGTTGTAAAAATAAGCAAAGAAAGCCAATAAACTTTACATGACTACGAACCAAGCGGAATAACTAAGAAGTTTTCCAGGAAAAATAAATTGGAATACGTCTGTAACTCGCATAGATCAGCTCTTATTAAATGTAAATCGTATACCGTGAATTCGAAACAAGTTATCTCAATAAAAAAAACTTTTTACGGCGTCGCTTACATTTTCAAAAGTTTCCCAGTCATAAATTGCGAGCGTAAAGTGACTCCGCTTATTTATTTTTTGTGGTTTTCCTAACTTGTACTTGTGTAAAGTTTGTCCAAGAGCCGATATTATCGAGAGATGAGAATTTACGCGCGAATTAATTCGACTTCAGCATAAAACAATAAGTACATATGCACATGTTATATGTAAACATGTGCATATGTACTTATGAACATAAACAGAATTAAAGAACACGTCGCAGATATAAAACATAAACGTCTCTCCAAATCTGCGGTACGCCAACACTCATCGGAAGGGCCCAATCATTACATTCGCTTTGATCAGCCAAAAATCCTCGCAAAGAAGAGTCGATTTTTTCCAAGATTGGTACGCGAAGCAATTGAAATCAAAAAACACCGAAATTTCAATAGGGAGGACGGCCTCAAATTATCAAACACCTGGGATTCCATATTAAAAATTCTGGATCCCAATAAACACACCGGCAAACGCGAAGACATCGTTAGTCAATTCTGTAAGGACCCGGCCAGTTTCGTCAAATACCAACTTCGACGGAACAGATGGCGCTAGCGTAGCAATGTTTTACTTTGACGTCAGAGACATCCTCCATCTTTAGTCTCCCCGTGACCACGGCTGCTGCAAAGCATCCGAAACGTCGGGCCGAAGTTAAAAATCATTTTCAAATAAGTTTGACTAATATATCGCGTTTTAAACCGTTAAAGTGTTTTATTTAAATATTGTTAATGTTTTCTAAAATGATTTGTAACACTAGCCCGCGTGATCAGGGATTTTAAATGTATCCTTAATAAATACTTATAAATGTGTTGTGTTGTGTTGATTTTCTAGTTGTTTTTTACTCTTTTATATTAACATTAAGTTTTACTTCTAAAATTTTTATCTTTTGATTTTATGTTCTTCTTTGTTAATTTTCAGAAATCAACTGACTGAAGTCATAACTTGGTCTAACACTACTTTTCATCGATGGTTTATTCAGAGATATTTAAATTTAGAGTAGTAGACTAGATGTAGTCTAATGTTTTAGATAAGTTATAAACTTATTTTAGTAACGTTGGACTCGATGGGATTTAAATCCGCTACATATATTGTTACTATTGCGACCGACCAGCCTTTTACTTACCTTCCATTCGAATTTTGAATAGACGCAAAACGAAATCCGTAGGCGACTATAATAAAGCCGTATTCACGTAAGACGCGCAAAAGGCATTAAGCCGATGAGGCGGCAAATACGCGTCGGCTCCCGGTCTACACGAGGTTTACGGCCTGTAAAATGATATGGAAGTTTATCACGCCGACGACGACGCCGCATGCCGCATTCAGTGGTCTTCACGACCAGCTGAGGACGTAAAGCTGTTAAGCTGAATAAATTATTTTACTCTGCAGCCGCTTTTATTGCTTGATGCGTGGTATTACGGCGCTTTATTAAGTGCCTGTTTTACGGGTCAATATTGTTCTACAGACTAGATAGGAATGAATAAAATACACGCGATGATGGAAGCTAAATAAAAAATATTAGTTGTAGAAGAAAGAATTTTAAGTAAGACGTTTTAAAAATCAAAATTAAACTTGGGCAGGACTTGAACCGGCATCGTTCGTGTTCCGTGCTGTTGCTCTATCGAGTGGATTTTTTTTTCAATTTAATTACGATTTTTAAAATATATAGTGCCATAACATGTGAAAAATATTACAGTTTGAAAAAAGTTAGTGAATTTCCAAATATCTAAACTCAAATTGGTCGATAGCACATCTATTTTATATGTATGTCTGAGTATTTCACCTGCCATCAACTGAATCTCCGTCTATTTCCATTTGTGTGTTCTGTTCTATTATAAATATCGATAAACCGCAAAAAAGCCGTCAAGACATCATCAACAATTAACCCACAACTGGCTTTCGGCGGAGAAAGACGAAGCTGTTATTTCTGTAAATGAAAATTGAATTTGTTTCCACTCACTTTAATTAACTGCGTCACCGTCGCAGTCAATTACGACAGACAGACCGACGGTATTTACATTACAATTAATAACTGGTTATTGTGACAAATTAAGTTATAAAGCTCTTTAGACGTTGTCAGGAATGACATCCTGATTGCTTCGAGAGGGCTTTTCAGTAAGTTGTGACAACTTCGAAATTCCATTTGCCTACAAATTATTTGGCTATTGATATTTTTAATATTAATAAGAATTGTTAACAGTTGCCGTAGCGACTTAATCCACGTGGAATTTTGGGCATACAAATTTGTTTTTGCAAGCGTCCTTATAAATTTAAACCGTTGCCAACCACGTTTGATTTCATCTAGAATCCAATGTGTTTCAGAACATCGCGTTTCGTTTCAGTCTATATTTTTCGAATATCCAAAGCCAAAATTTATGGACAGCATATCTTGCCGAGATGTTATATGGCTAGGTCTACTATAAAGAAAAAAAGAAGATATTTAACTAAGAAAAGTAGTTGAACGAAGCTGTGACGCATGCCTTAGTGTTAGATTCGTCTAAAATATTTTAGGGATTAATTATATTGCTTCTCGCATTTTGTTTTTGTAATCCACCTATCCATGTGCATCGTCCCCCGACCTACAGTCCTACACACATCTGTTTCTGTCCGAACAAATCCTTTAACTGATGCTAGTTCTGCCCCCGCTTCGCGGCGACGGCCGTATTCTGCGAAATGACGACGCAGAGTAACGGAAATGTCGAATATAACTATTAATTGAAAGGATCAAAAGATTTGGTAAAATATCATAAAAAGGATGGTTACTCTATGGAATAGATTAATAGGTGTCTAGTCTTAATTAGCTTTTAGGTTATATCTTTTTAAGTACTGTAACGGTCAGATAATTATAAAGATAGAACCCTATTAAGGGTTTTATAACGCGAAGTGTAGACTTTACTAGAGATTAAACTTATTTACAAATTATATAAAATACGTTTCTGACGCTTTGCAACAGCCGTGGTCACGGGGGGACTAAAGATGGAGAATATACCTGATGTCCAATTAAAAACTGTTATGCTAGCGCCATCTGTAACGTTGGGTTTTAAACCGTAAAAAGTGTTTTATTGTGTACTACTCGCGTAAACTACAGACAGTATTAAGTCAGATAATTGTATTTAAATATATATTTAAGATGAGTGCAAGTTAAAATAATTTTCAAGTATGTTTAACTAATATATATCATATTTGAAACCGTTTAAAGTGTTTTATTTAAACGTGCACTACTTTCATAAACTACAGACAGCAGATAATTGTAATTCGTCTTCGAGGTTTAATGCCATTCGTGATTATTACAGTTTCCCAGAATAGGGAGGCCAATAGAGGCGATCGAAGCGGAATCCAACTCGGCGATATTTCTGTTCGAGCGAACGCCATTTGTCTTAGTTTAATCACATTAGGCTTAGCGACTGGATCTGCTTGTCCGAGAATCACTACTTTATTTATCCCGGTCATCTATACGGAAGTAATTATTCATGTAATCTAAACGTGTATTTAGTATTTCACTTTATTCATTTTTTATGAGACTTAACTTCATTCGCATTTCAAACAAGATAATAAAACAGTTTCTTTGATAAAACAAAGTCCAAAGTTTCGTAATTACGCAACGTCCGAACGCTTCTTTAAAAAAGCCGCGTCGCATCCGAACCCACTGGTGGCCCAGGTCGCCAACTACACCTTTCCCATCAATTACGACTTAAAACTTATCCGGTTAGCGTGCTCGCCCAAACGTCCTGTTAGTATTAGAGGCCCTGGGCTCAATACGTAACACCGAACTTCTGGCTTACTGCATGGTGGGTTTAACCTGAAGGTTTTTAAATATAACCACTAATATAAAACAAGGTTTGGCAAAACAATTAAGATACCATCTTCCCTATACAGTGGTTAACAATGATCATGCGTTAAATTATTGTTACTTAAGTTAATTTAAAATTAGTAAACTGTTATCTTAAGTTGCTTTAACAAATTAAAAATAATACTATGATAAAAAGGCATCTAATACGATAGACATTCTTTTCCGATTACAAAAATTGTTTTAAAAACATGCATAACCACTATTGGGTCGTTATCGATATTTATAATCACTGGCTCACTCCACGTACGTAGAGATAGCAATCACATATCAATGTGGGATTTATTTGGGTTTGTGCAACTCTAATCTTATCTTTATTGTAGTATTAGATATTATATATTTTTTTAATAGAGGCAATTAAATCGACTTATCTGATGTTGAAGTTTATACTTATCATTTGCTGTTATAATTATATTTGTATAACGCGTTTAATGTTTTACGAAATCCAGATATTTGATTGAAATACATAAGTGCCCAAAAATATACATAAGTTAATATAAACCATACTTGTGCTAAACAAGTGGTTTGTATTGTTTAACGGCGCAACATGAGGGTAGTACTCTCTGAAGACACTTTCCCATAACTCTATTTCTTCGCGCTCCGGCGCTGTCTTAGCTTCTAAAGTGTTTCCTAGATCCAAATAATCTTCCTCCTCTAATGTATAAGGTTTCCACGAGACACCTAGGCTATTATCGGGTGTTGGGTTTCTGAAAGGAAATTAAAAGATTCCGTATTCTATTAAGTGATTAGGCTGTTGATTATATTATTTATAGTATTTAATAAAATTTACTTACCCATATTTTGCAAAGTTAGTCCATAGTGTTGTGGCTCTATCGATGATTTGAAACGTTTCAGAGTTCATATCAACCTCTGGTCCTGCTGGGAAAAAGTAGAAAAGATCATCTGCGTGTCCTACCACTTGTCTGTGCTTGAATAGATCAGCCGCTTCCGGGGATGCAGCAATGGCAAGATTTCTCTCCGTCTTACACGTAAACTTGTACAAATATATTGTGTTAGTATTCTTTTTAGCCACAAATTTTTGCCAGGAAATAGTACCATATACAAACACCTCCGTATTCGTATACCTCAGTAAATCATCGACATTTTGTCTACTGACCATCGCATCTTTTATGTAGTAGTCCTTCATACGCTTACCAACTTCCACTTGCTGAACTACAGTGTAGTGTCAGCGGTTCCGGTACGAAGAACTCCAAGAACTGATTGGCTTGTTCAAATATTCTTGGGATGTTAGTGCCTGTTGCGAAATAAAGTGTGCCTTCATCTTCTACATATCCATTTATGACCTCAACTCCCTCATGAATCCCGGTCCTCAAAACATCGTATACATCACCTTGGAAAAATACTTCCTCATCACCAAATTTCCTTTCTGATACTACACCGAAATAAACATTTGGAGATTCTTTAGCATATTGCGTGTATGTGACAACTATTCTACTTTTCACAAAATCTTTAACTGTTTGTTGTTTGAAGAAGTTGTATATTTCTGTGTCTTCGGTGGAATTGCAACCCATTTGTCTGGCCAGTTGAATAGCTCGGTCTCTAGCTCTATAAGTGTTTGGCCACCAGCTGTTAGCAGTCCCACTTTGGACAATAGCTCGTTTGAACAGTCCTTTAGACATGGAGAATCATGTTGGCCTCGCCCCTCCTGCGCTCTCTCCAAAAATAGTGATATTATCAGGATCACCCCCGAATCGTCTTATATTTTTCTTCACCCACCTCAGGGCTGCGACTTGATCCTTCATTCCAGCGTTACCTGGTATATCTTGAGTACCGAGACTTAAGAATCCTAAAACTTCTAATCTATAATTAAATGTGACTAGAACGACGTCTTTTCTGATAAGAAAGTCTGGTTTATATTCATCTCCACTTCCACTTACGAAACCTCCACCGTGAATCCAAAACATGACTGGATATGGTTGATCTGTAGTTACGTTTGGAGAATAAATATTCATGTACAGACAGTCCTCACTACCTTCTGGTGGAGGATAGGGCACTACGAATAAGTTGTATTGAAAGCACATGGAGCCTGTTTGGTTAGCTTGCTTCACACCGCTCCATGGTTGTATAGGTTGAGGTGGCTGGAATACAAACGTTAAAATTTCTAAAAATGTTATCTTCAAATTAAAAGAAAATTCCAAACAGCTGTTATACTCGTAGGTTATCATGTTAAAAAAAATTATTTGGTATAGACTGATATGAATAATCCTCCGATTTAGCGGGGACGACACAACACTAGTGCGACGCGATTACCGCGCGCGTCCCGACACTAGCTCAGGAACTGTCAAATACGAACGTTGGCGCGCATTCTGTCGGTTAAGCCTAATTTTGGTTAATAAATTAATATTTAAGAGTTTAACATCGTTTTTCCGTCCTAACATTATCAGAAGTGCGATAAGTGATCTTGCCCACGAGTGAACTTTGATGAATTGGACGATAATTTCACTTTTAAAGTGCAAAGTTAGGGAAAAAATAAAACTGGCGGTTTTGGATGCGAAAAGACGCTTTTATTATATAATTTGGTGATGACACACATAATTAGTGATAAGAACGCTTGTAGTAACTAAGTTTAATGCAGATCGGTACTTAATACTTGATTTTTGCTCAAATTTTGTCAATCCGTTAAGGGTCACTGACCTCCAGTACAACAAGTTTGTAGAAGTTTTGGGTGAACATTTTCTGGTTGAGAAACTGGTTTATTTGTGTGAATTGTCCTGGTACGGTGACGATTGCACAACAAGGTGCTTGAAGATGCATCAGTTGCGTGTTGAAATGTTCCTGGTTATTTGGTGAGATTGTTCCATGAACTTTTGTATTTACATAAGTAGACTGATAATTTGAGCATACTTTAATATCTGTTAAAATGCTCAGCAACCCATAAATAAACAAAGTGAACTATTCTAAGTTGTTAAAGTGCTAATTTTAAACAAAAAATTTAAGGACTATTTGGATAATTGAACTTTTACTGAATTTAATTACTTTTGTTACAGAAGTTTACTTTATTCAAAGAGAATTATTAGTGTTAGAGACAGCAGTATAAGTTTATTGTGTGTGACTTTATTTCAATTGTTAACATGGGTCGGTACCAGAAGAGAAATAGGTCTACTAGTGCTTCTTCGTCAGGGTCAAGTAATTCTGATAGACAATCTAAAAGTAAACGATAAAAAAAAAGCACTTAAAAGGAAGAATAAGAGAATCGAAGCATTAGAAGGGTTGATTAAAGAATTACAACAGAAAAATTACAATAATGGTGACACTACACCAAGAGTAGAGTCAGTGGTACGTTATGTGGGACGGAATGATTTTATACCTGAGTTTAATCCTCAAAAATCATCTGTCTCAGTAGAACATTGGCTCCGTAACTTAGAAGGTGTTGCTAATATGCATGGCTGGGATGAACGCACTTTGATTTGCAACTGCACTTCTAAGTTGGGTGGCTATGCTAAAAGCTGGTATGAACGCCAAACTTGCTATGACATTAGCTGGGATGAGTGGAAAATAAAATTAATTACAGCATTTCCAATCACTAAGAATAAGTTGTCACAGATTAGGGAACTTGTTAACCGTATCAAGACAAAAGATGAAGACCCAATAAAATTTTACTATGATAAGCTGGGTATTGGCATGTCATGTAATATGAGTGATGATGTGATAGCTCAAGCAATTGTGGGTACACTTGGAGACAAATTGTTAGAAGTTGGAGCGTTGTCGGCTGGTTGTCATGATACTAATTCTTTGTTAAAGTACCTGGCCTGTATGAAAACATCATCATACTGCGTTGAAGTGAAATCCTGGGGTTCATTTAATGCTTAAAATAATAACTTAAATAAGGTGGTCAAGTGTAACAATTGTGACAAGGTTGGTCATAAGGTGACTAAATGAAGGTTTTGAAAGCTACGCAAGACAGTTATTCATCAGAAGACGAATTAAAGCAAGATGCTGTCACCCCTCTGGCATAGTGCCTACTGGCCTATATTACTGGCTACCGGGCTATTATCTGCCTACGGGGCTATTACTGCCTACGGGGCTATTATCTGCCTACGGGGCTATTATCTGCCTACGGGGCTATTACTGCCTACGGGGCTATTACTGCCTACGGGGCTATTATCTGCCTACGGGGCTATTACTGCCTACGGGGCTATTATCTGCCTACGGGGCTATTACTGCCTACGGGGCTATTATCTGCCTACGGGGCTATTTACTGCCTACGGGGCTATTTACTGCCTACGGGGCTATTATCTGCCTACGGGGCTATTACTGCCTACGGGGCTATTTACTGCCTACGAGGCTATTTCCTCTAGGTGGCTGAGCCGAGTCTACGTGGCTGCGCTGGCAGCCCTGACGGCGGCGGTTTAGTGGGAGCGCTACTTCATCCTTCGAGGGCGAAGGACTACACAAGATGGCCGAACTGATATGAATAATCCTCCGATTTAGCGGGGACGACACAACACTAGTGCGACGCGATTACCGCGCGCGTCCCGACACTAGCTCAGGAACTGTCAAATACGAACGTTGGCGCGCATTCTGTCGGTTAAGCCTAATTTTGGTTAATAAATTAATATTTAAGAGTTTAACATCGTTTTTCCGTCCTAACAATACCTTAAATCGCAAATCTCCAAGTGGTGGTACAGCATATGGGATCCCTTCGAAGCTATGATATGGTTTCCCATATTTATTTTCCAATGTCTGACCTTCAAGAGTACCTTCTTCGACGGTCACTTGCACAGAATGCACATACGCTGCGACCGAAGCAAGTAAAATAAGGTGTCGGTACATCTTGACTGATAATAAGTGAATATCCGCGGTCTAAAATATATACAATCGTATCGACTTTATCACGAGATGTAAAAAGATAAATAAAGGAAAAATATGTACCAATGATAACAGTAATAAATTAGATTTAGAAATTTTATCAAAGATTTACGATAAATATTTTGTCAACTTGTGTTGCGATACGTTTTAATTATTGTATAGATAAGACGCACTTTGGAGCCATTCATTTATTATGTAAGACGATTTTGGGGAGGAGGAAGTCCTGATAATTCTTAAGTAAGATCATAAATGTGCAATGTTAAACTGTTATTATTTTCGAGTGGGTTTTCAGCGTCTGGACTGAAAGTCTTATGTAAATAAAGATTTATGATTTTAGGAGAATTTTCTGATTTATGATTTTAGGATGAATATTTTTTATTATCGGTCCAAGTTCAACGGTCTATACAGTAGCATGCTATGACCATACTAGGAACATATCGAACACGAAAGGCAGACGCACCAAAACGCTTTCTGAAACTGGTTAACGAACTGTCGCCAAGTTTTGCGTATAATCAACGGGTCGTGGGCTCGGCCCCCACCAGGTCCAACATTTTTCTAATCAATTTAAAGTTTTTCTAAAACATGTTGGACTTCAGCATATCATTTCACGTTGGCCTGAAAAACAATGATGTTGTTGTCGTTGATGATGATGTTTCAGTCTGTGGATTTCCGAATATAAATCTAAAACGAAAACTAAAACTAAATCTAAAGCGCATCTTGTTTAGTTGTCATATGGCTGAAGTGTTTCATATCGAACGAACCGCACGCTTGCTTGTCCTTCTCTATCATAAAAAAGCCAAACAAACACAATTGACACAGAAAAGTATTATAATAGTATGCAACGAATCAAGTCAGTTTGAGTTCACATCAAAAACCATTCCACTATACTTATATGTACCAATGATAATCCTCAAGAACCCTCCTAAGCTGGTTGTAACTCAACCCATAAACCAACAACACAACCGCGTAAATATTTTATGCGCGGTTGATCCAACGTTTACGATTACTCTGCATACGATAACGGAACCCACTGACCCTTGGGTTATGTTCCAAATTATGTCCTTTAATAAAAACCTTTTTACGATTTCCACGTCTCTTGTACTCCCATGACGAGGCAACGTCCAATGCATTTATCTTGTACCCTTCCAACAAGGTTTTTATAAAATACTTACCAAAAAAAAAAAAAAAAAAAAAAAAAAAAAAAAAAAAAAAAAAAAAAAAAAAAAAAAAAAAAAAAAAAAAAAAAAAAAAAAAAAAAAAAAAAAAAAAACCCCCCGGGGAACCCCCCCCCCCCCCGGGGGAAAAAAAAAAAAAAACCACCCCCCCCCCCCCCCCCCCCCCCCCCAACCCCCCCACCCCCCCGCCCAAGAAAAAAAAAAAATACAAAAAAAGAAAAACAAAAAAACCGCGTTTTAAACCGTTAAAGTGTTTTATTTAAAGGTTTTTATAACTTTTACGTTGTATTCTGTTATAGCGTACATTTTTTGTAATGATCATAACCCACCCTTTTGTAATCCAGCAATTATATTTTATTTATGTGCGCTTATATTGAAATGGATTTTTTAAATAATGTATGAGAAACACTAGGAGCAATTCACGTTTCCCGGTATAAAACGTTATCGTGCCGGAACACAGGATAGGTTAAAATCCATTGCTTACAAAGAGCATTACTGTGACGTTTTTAAAATAATTAAAGCTGAAACATTGAAGCGAAACGGCGAATATCATGTTAAAAATACGGAGCGCGCGCCACTCGGCAAATTGTTTTAAAAACGCCTCGCTTGTTTAAGGGCTCGCGCGAACAGAGATATAATTTATTTATAGTGCAAGACAGTCTGCCATGGCGTTCACATGGTGGTAAAGTGAAATACTATACAATATGACGTGTAATAAAATAAGGTCAACAAAAAAAAGGAAACACAAGGTCAACAAAAAAAAGGAAACAAAAGGTCAACAAAAAAAAGGAAACAAAAGGTCAACAAAAAAAAGGAAACAAAAGGTCAACAAAAAAAGGTTTGGACCTTTTTTTTGTTTGGGCTATTTAGAAAGGTCGAAGTGCTGTGTAATAAAATCCAATTTAACCACACTCTCTTGTTAAGACTATGGACCAAATGATTTTATTCGTCCGAATCCGTAAAGACAGAATAGGTCTTGTGGGGATGGGGTATTTCACCTACCACCAATTGAAACCTGTCTTTCCTTCCTTATCTTAAAAAAATCTTAAATACTTTACGTAACATCAAAACAATACAACAATAACATAAATATACAACCTGTGTTATACTTCTGTACCAAATTATAATCAAATGTAATAAAAGAAAATACTCAAATGAAATAATCATAAATTAAAACACTATACGATTGATAGCGCGAAGTATATTTTAATTAATATAGGTAATAGTTAAAATAAAAATAAGTTAATAATATATTTGGCTTTTTAAATATTTAAAAGATTAATTAAATGTGTACTAATTGTAGAAATTACAGTCAATAAAATAATCAATTAATCACGCATCATTATTATTTAAAGGAAACATATATACGATTAAAATTGTGCAATTTTTGAGAGCAAAGAGCACGTTTGAATGGGGCTTAAATAAGAGTTTGTTAGAAGACTCGAGCTGTGTGTTTCTGTCAGTACATTTTAGTGGATGCATGCGAGAATATGCATGAGGCGAATACTGATTTCACCCTGAGCTAGTCTTTTTACTTAGACTCAAAGAGGCTGCTGTGTAATTTGCTTTTCTTACGAGGTAAACAGATACCATAAATAAGAGAACTGCTTCTCTGTTGAATGCTAACAATAAGTTTAGACTGAAATTAAAGTATTGAATAGATTATTAAATTCAAAATTTAAAAATCACATTGCATATGACGGCACTATATAAATTTGACGATCACGTGTAGCTCAATTGGTTGGAACACCACGGAACGCTGTGGATGACGGTTTAAGTCCTGCCCGAATCGTATTTTTTTTATCGATTTATAGGTCAAAAACCTGTAATTATTCAAAAGAGTATTTTCTTTAAATTCTCAGTATGTGTTTAATATTTAAATAAAACACGTTAACGGTTTAAAACGCGGTATATTAGTTAAACTTATTTGAAAATGATTTTTAACTAATATATCGCGTTTTAAACCGTTAAAGTGTTTTATTTAAATGTGTACTACTCTCGTAAATTATAAAGAGTATTTGTTTAATATTTTTTTAAGTCTTCAACATGCAGGGAAAACCCCCCGGGCTAAATTTTTTTGCTATCACGTTATAAGCATCAAAATAATCAATAAATTAACTTTCTAGACTTCGACATTAATATAATAATACAAAAGACTTTAATTTTCCTTAATGATATCTATTTTAATCGATGACGTGGCTTGAATTAAAGTAATGTATTATCTGTGATGATTAGGAAATTACCAAGAACAATTATTTATCTAGTCCGAATCGGAATGACGCGGTCTGTAGGTGTATTTTGTACCTCTATAACAATTTATTTCGTATTTATTTAACTCTTTCTTACCCAACACACACAGCGTTAGCAGTAGCGGACGTTCTTATTGTTACAGAGCGATCTCTTCCCTCTTTATGAATGATGTATTAAATCTAAAATTTGATACTGAAAGGACTCCAAAAAAATATTTCCCCAGAACGTTTGTACATTTATGTGAAGGTTATAAATAATACTTACATAACGATTATAATAATAATGATCATATTCACATTGAAAACAACCAAGAATAAAAAAAATATATATAATAAAACAAACGTCGTAATTTTGGCTTTTAAGTGGGAAACAGTTTTGATTATTGTATTTGTTTCTATTCATTTTAGGTATATTAATTGTATTTATTGCATTTATCACTTCTTATTTGATATCGTATCATATTGTTTATTTTCTGATAGAAAAGTAACCTTAAGGAGATTTTATTACTTTGCTCTGTTAAGTTGGCGAGTATTCGCATCTTTGGTCCTACAAACATAATAGATGTAATCTATGATAGCGCGTGTTTCAGAACAGTCTTATATTTATAGCAACTTGAGTTTAAAATACAATATTCATTCGACTTTATCGTTAATCATTAGAACCGATGTACTTCGGAAAATATAGGCAGTGGCATAATTAGAAATTTATTAAAACTGATGGTTTCAATTTCCCCCTCTGCCGCGCCGCGTGGGGCGATTTTCTCCCAATGTAAATAAGGCATAATTGATTCCCTCTCAAGTTATAATAACTGACAAATTGTTAGACTCTTCTTGAGGTGTTGTCGGACAATTTACTTGCCAATTAAAAGCTGGAATTGCGTTAAGAGGTAATTAGAGGGCCTAAGCCCCTCTGTTGTGTAAATTGTGAGGTTAAAATATGGAAATTTCATTATCGCCATTTGTATGTAATATGTTCGATGTTACTTAACCCGAAAATGAATGGATGAGAATTTAGCCAGATGCGCCAAAGTTCAACGCAGTATATATTTACTTGTCTACTGCTGTTTCTACACGACGTCGTTTGCGACCCGTCTTTCTTCCAAGTTAATATTAAAATATAGACACTGTCGTGGACGCAATCGCAGCGCACGAAACTAAAGAAAAATAATTATTTCCATTTGTTTAACATTTCCCACTAATTTTTCTTTCCTTTTAGTCGCAACGTGATGTTTTATAGCCAAAAGCCTTTCTTGATGAATCCTCTAGCAAATACAAGAAAATAAATAATTAAAATCAGTAGTTCCTGAGATTACCTTATTCAAACAAACAGAGAAACGCTTGAGCTATATAATTTTAGTACAGATGTGAAGCTCTTAAAGAACTATGTGTATGTAAAAGTTCTGAAAATAATTGATCTTCCATTTAAACTGTTTACTTTCCTCGAGTAAGCAGGAATATTGTTTTTGTGATTTAATCACTAATTAATCCTGTGTCATCTACATGATATAAAATTACAAAACAAGCAAAACGAACATCCGTA